AGGTTAAGACTATTGGGAGGTAGTGAGAATTTGACAAAAAAGGACTGTCAGAGCCCCCTTCTGACAACTTTCAATTTTACAATGTTTAAGAGATACCCCATATTTTCCAAAAACACCAAAAAGTTCAGCCAATTTCCGCTGCAAAATGCCCATTTAAAATACACATAGAACGACTGCAGTGCCATATAGGAATTTTCAATGGGAGTGCAGCCGCGCAGGCAAGCAAAGTCCAGCAGCAGGACAATAGGCCCAATGGACTGGAGTCAATTGCTCCCCGCTGAGGGAATGAATTAGGCGCTCACAGCAGGGTCTCCTTTGTCAATTTAAAGATTTGATTTTTAATTATTGAAAACTAAGTTTTTTTTTAATCAACATATCACGTGCCGGTTAGCCGTTTGCCAGTAAAATTTAATGAAGAAGCTCATTTGAATGAAATTTTTTGGCCAACTACAAGTCGTTCAAGATATTTTTTGACATAATATATTTTGTCGGCGCGCATTCATTTGATAATTTTTTCTTAACGTTATATGATTTATATTGGATTTAAGAGTCAGTTAGAATAAATGAAAAATATTAATTGTTAAAATGAAAAAAATTATTAGATAAAGAAAGATATTAAAATACTTTAATTCCTTTTATTGTGATTATTAAAATGGTAAAATACATAAAAAGAGTACAAAAAAAGTTGAAAAAAAATTATGCATTTTTTTTTAAAATTTACAGCAATAAATATTTAAATTAATTAATATAATTAAATTTTTATTTAATTACATCCAGTTTTTTTTTAAATTTATAATTGTGAAATTTTAGTAAGTTGAAATATAATTAAATAATATCTTTTTTAATTTTGTTTGTCGCGAACCATTATGTCTCCGCTTCCTAGCTGGGTTGGCAGGCATATTTTATTAATTAAATGTCGTATTTGAGAAAAAAATGCTAATTATGTTAATTTTATATCAACCTGTGAATATTTTTAAATATATTTTAAAATATATATTAAATAATATATACTCTTAACAACAAGAAAAATCACGGCTACGTTCAAGCCTTATTTATTTTTGGTAACTCGTTCTATAATTTACTTCAATTCAGTAGCTGAATGCTGAATATTAAATACACGTTTAATTTAAATATTTATTATAAAAACCAAATTTGTTAATTGCATGTCGCATTTATAAAGAAATAAATGAACCAACTCTGGCAGAGATAGTGAGAGAAAAAGTCTCTTCAGCTGCAAATCTTGTTGGCTGCAAGTTTAAAATTTGTGTTGCCTGTTCATTTGAAGCATGAATGCTGCTACCTGCGGCTATTTACTCAACGCACAATTGACTGACCAATTCCATATTCTTAACAAAAGACCCCTTGCTGCGGTGCGATCCCTTCCGAGTCGCCCCCAATAGCCGCAGCACCTAGGTGGAGCTAGTGCATGGGCTCAAAAGGCAATTTTTAATATCATTTTGATTCGCGGGCTCCAGCAAATTTTCTATTTAAGTTATATAATTCTAATTGATCTCAGGCAAAAGTAAAAGAATTGCACTATTGCTTGACGCAAATTTTATAACTATATTCCAATTCCTTCCATTTAATTTTTGGTTCTGAAAATGGACATAAAAAAGTATGGAGAAATCTGTTAAGATCGTCAACTTAAATATTTTATTACATTTACCCAAATTAAGATATTTAATTTTAAAAGTGATTAGGCACTGAAGGAAGAGTTGAAGCATCAACTTTGAAATTTTGAATGATTTTCATATGTCAGAAATGAAGTTGGAGCGCACCAAAAATGTTGTAATTAAAGCTCAATTAACTTAATTTTTAATTAAGTTTGAGCAAATTTTTGGCATGGAACTTATTTATTTAAACGCCCTTTGTTGATTTCAGTTAAAAATTAGCCGTGTTTCTTATGTTATTTTTTGGCCATCGCTACCTCCCAATAACCTTAATTTTGTATTTTTACACTAAATATTAAATTGAGCACGAAAAATTGGTCTTTATTTGTAGTGCACATAAAAAAATAAAATGATCGGGAACATTGTTCAACCAAAAATTTTTGCAAGTGTAGCTGCATAAATTAGTTTTCTTTAAATCAATGATTATCTGCTAAAGATTTCTTTTTAATATCCTGATAAAAATTTATAGGGAAAACTTCCATGACAGTGATTAACGGCTCAAGGAATAAAAAGAGTATTTGAATAACTCATCAAATTTTCAATTTCAAAGATGAAACGAAATGACAATAAAACTCGGAGTTTCGCCACAACTTTGAATGTGTCACGAGAATGAGAATACGTAAAGCGGTCTGAAGTAAAATAGACCATTAAAAGTCACAACTTGGTTCGGGCGAAAGACCTCGTGACGGCGGAAAAATTGCCGCCGACAACAAACACGCGGCGAGAACATGAAATATTAAAATCGCTCCTAACTCACTCAACCCAGCGGCGCAGTGAAAAGAATAATAATTTCCGCAAAGTGCTTCGCCGCGAGATGTGCATTGAAATTTTTATTCGCCAAAAAGCGTTTTTCCCCCGAATAAAAAAGCGACGCGATTTTCCCGTATCATTAGCGCCAATCCCGCTAAAAACGGCGTCGCAAAAAGTGCGCTTATGTATGTGTGCATTTCGCAACATGAAACCGGAACAGCCGCGGGAAAACACGCCAAATGGACGGCCGAGTGGCACTTTGCAGCCGGCAACACATTCACCATCTGCGATGGTTGTGACGACTTGACGCTTTCCACGATGATCACAAGAGTGGAAATAATATTTTACATTAATTTGACGGTCGGATGTTGAATTAAATTATTACCAGGACCTTACCTCTCTGATAATCCTTTTTCCAAATTTTAATTCTTAAATTGCAAATCCAAATAATTTTTATTTATTTAAATAAAAGATACTTACAAAAGCAAGTTTGGATTGAGAGGAAAAAAATTATCATAAAAGTTGTTTTGATTGAGCATTTTTTCCATTTTTCAATAGTTTTAATTAATGTTCAACACTTTTGATTGCATTTATTCGGTTCATCCTCTTTTGTTTAAATTTATTTAAAAAAGAAAAAAAATTAACAAAGTGAAGGTGGGATTTTGTTAAAAAATAAAAATAAAATTTAAAACTTATGGTTCTCTGATAAAATTCAAATAAACTGGAATTTTTTTTCTATTTAACAGTGCTTTTAATTGTAAATTTAGATTTTTTGACTTCTGTTAATTTTCATAGAATTAAAAAGTTTTTATTTAAATTAAAACAATAAAAATTTAAACTTAATTTTTTATTGTTTTAATTTAAATTAAAACTGATACCATTTAAGGTATCAGAAGTAGCTAAATACTACTTCAAAATGGCAGTCATTAATACAATATCAACGCAATTAAAAAATTGAACGGTATATAAACTTCTTGCTTTCACTCTGGTTTCAAGTAACCTTAAGTTCTCTAGCTCTATTCGCTTACAATTGAATTTGATGGGTGCATTTTGCTAAATTAAATAAAAAAAATTTAATTTTCATCTCTCCTTTTACACTTCTTTTTCACTTTTTTAATGTTATTTCGTGTCTGATCAAATCTGCCCGGCCTTTGTTAGCTCGTTGCGTGTTAATTAATTGGAGCTGCAAACACACAATATTTCGACCAACACAGAAGAGTTTCGTCGAAAACTCTGGGCAAAGTTAAACGTATATCTTGAGCACATATTTACCGTGGAAATTACACTCGCCGTAAATTTACCCTTCTGGCCCTCTTGTTGTTGTGATGACGAGCTGATAAGTTTCGCGTTAACTTGGGTTGACTTTGCTCTCGGAGCTGCAACTTTCGCCCTGCGTATTATACCTGCTCTCGTCGAGTGGATGCGCCTCCGTTATTTACGTTTGCCCTCGCAGGAGGAGGTGTATTTATAGTTTTGCCGCGCGCAAATGGGAATTTATTTCTGCTCATACACACTTCCGAATTTGACGTGCTAAGTGTAAATAATGTTTTTCCGGGCGGACGTTAAAGTCAATTTGGAAAGGCAGATGGCATTTCCAATTTCGAACGCTCGAATTATTGCCTCGCGATCGCGCCGTTCATAAATATTGCACCGGTTGCGCAAGTTAGTATCATTTCTTTTGAAATGTGACTTTTGGGAAATGGTTTCATTAATAGCATCGATTTGTAATTAAAGCGAGGAAAAAAAGTGATAAATCTGTTTATCAAGATAAAATCACTGTGGAAAAAATTCCTCTGGAGCTTTATATGAAAGTCTATTAATTAAATTGCATTCCGACCATAATATTTTAATGTTTTATTACATAAGGGAATATTACCAAACCAAACTTGCAGAAAATAGTAATTTCAAGTATGATTCAAACCATAAGGAGGACACATTATTAATTTTTTATTGATCGTGGTAATTTAATAATGTATAAACTTTGTTTTATGGCAGCAATTACAAATAGTCAAATAAAATCAAATATTCATACACATTGAAAAAAATTAAATAAATAAATAAAAAAAATTGTTTTAAATTATTTTTAAAATAAATTGTGTGTTACTTGAATAATAATAAGTATTGTCTTATGGTTAGTAACGGGATGTCTTTTAATTATTTATTAACTATTACTGTTCTTATTTTTCAGCAATCAATGCAGTTTAAAATAAAATAAAATAGTCCATGGCTTATCTTCCTTGAGAAGAACTTAAATATTATATTTTGAATGTTGAAAAAAATACAAAATTTTTAATTCTCTTTCAATGAAAAAAAAAAGAGTTTTTAAAATATTTTGAAGCTGGCAAACGGCAGTTCGGTGGAAAAAAAACTTGTCAACATTCCCAATTCATGAAACGTTTTAAGGCTCGATTTTAAACCAATGTCATTGAAGTGAAAAATTCCTTACTTGCAAAGCCTTAAGAGGCTTCTCTCCTTTTCCAAATAACTCCTTTTTTCCCTTTCAGAGACGCACTGAACCACTTTTGTCTTTGCAAATTAACTCTGGCAACTAATTATTATCATTGGTGTTTGATTTTGCAGGCATCCCCGCCACCACCAGCATCGGCCCGAGCGACATTTTGATCAACGGCCGGGGCCAGTTGCGGATCCGGAGCCCGTCCGCCGTCTGCAAATCGATTCCCAGGGACAGAGTGAGTGAAGCGGGCCTTTTCACTTTATTTTCACGCCTTGTGCATTGCATAACTAACTCACGCTCTTTCCTTCCTCTCTCGATGAAATACGCGACTTTAAATTCGCGCCAACGTGCCCTACCTCGCTCTCACGTCGCGCACTTCCCACCAGAATTTAGCACCGCTTTATACATATTTTCGTCTCGCCTCTTCGTAATTATTTTCGACCCAACAGTTTCGTGCCGAAGAATAGAATTTTCAGTTGTAAATCATCTTTTGTAAAATTATTTCATGTTGAAAGTTTTTTAATTAATAGTTTGTTGCAGATTCTGATCTCGGTCAGATATTTATCCCAATAAAAATAGATCGTACTGAAAATTTAATTGTTCGTTTGCATTTTTTTTCTTAATGTTTTTGTTAGCTTTATAGCTAACGATTTTTTTTTTTTTTTAGAAGAAAGAAAATCATAACAATGGAAATTGACCTATTTAAACCTTCAAAAAGTTTTTAAACTCATTTTGAGCGCCTCGTGTTGATTGTGCTATTTTAATAGAAACTTTTTGGTGAAAAACAGAATTAAAATTATTTCATCATTAAAATGAATAAAAATGTCAAAATCTCAATCAAAAACATTAAATTATTGTGTATTTTCTTGTTTTGGTCTAAATAATTTGCATTATTTTATAAACCTCTAAGAATAATGAACTGCAAACCTAGAAAAATGAGTATCCAAAAAATAGTTTTTTTTAACCCTTTATCTTAAAAGTCAGCGTTACGAAAACGAAGCACACATTGAATCATTTTTCACTCAAAGTCACGTCTCGGCAGCTGAGTTATGCGTTTTCCGTGTCGTTTCAATTACACCTCGCGAAAATCGGCGTTCAGCCAGTCAGAAACCGACAAACGCGTATAAAACTTGATAGTGCCTTCAAAGAAAAGTCTTTTTCCTCTCAATCTCTTTGTGAATAGACGGACGAGCAACTGTGCGAATATCGTCAGAAATGTTTTCTTTTTCGACACAGAGTCTCAAAGTGCGCGACTATATATCGTTTAAGGAAGACTAGATTGTTTGAAAGCTTCAGACGGGGGAAATAATGCAAAAGAGCCGCGACCCGTAAATTGTTTGAAGTTGCGAATTACTGCTCCGAGCTATCAGGGAAACACGTCGCGTTGCAATTTTTCCTCATAGAATACGAGATGAGGTGTAAAAATGTCACATCACGTTTCAAACAACTTTTTTAATTAAAGCGTAATGATAAAATAGTAATAAAATAAATGCTTGAATCTTTTATTAAAACTTACTCTTTTACGAGTTGCCTCAGTAAGTGCTTACATGAGCTAATTTCAATGCAGATTTCATATTAATTTTATAATTTGCATTTTTTTTTTAATAACTGCGAGTCTTATTTCATGCTTTTTTCTTGACCGTGCCAACTCAATCCATTCAGAAAAAGTGAATAATTAGGAAGTTCAATCTTGAGATAATTGAATATTTGGATATCCTCAATTTAATTGAAAGTGTTGCTTTTTGTTATTGCATTTCTCACTTTTAATTTCAGAACCTTGATATTGTTGATTACTTTTTAATTTTCATTTTTTGAAACTAATTTTTTGTAAAATTTTCCCTTTTTTTGTCGTTTTAATTTTTTTTTTTAAATATATTTTTCCATTCTATACTTTCTCTCGTTATGTCATAATTACTCTTACATATCATTATTTTAAATTATTATTTAGCAGATATCAGAAAATTTAGATTTTGAAGTCGTTTCTTCCCTCTAATTGCAAGAGTTCCGATCTTGGTCCATTCGCTTAGCAAAATATTACACAAAATTGCTCTCTTCATTTATGTTCATCTCCATTTTAAACTGCGTGGAAATGCGAGAGAAGTGCAGCGTGGGTGTCTCGAGCGCGCCCAAGACAAAATGGTCCCGGAGATTTTTCATTGCGGCAGCCTGGCAAATAAAATTATGCAAATCGCGGCGGAGTTTCGCCGAGCTCTCAGTCGAGCCCTCCGGGGACGCTCACTTTTTAATCTGAGACGATGATATTTCAACGATAAGGGAGAACAAGAGAGAGCGATGCTTTCGACATCCTCGCGCCCAGATTTCCGCTGGGAGCCGCACCGCGCCACAAATTTGATTTCGAAAAGCGCTGCGTGAATGGGAAAAGGGAAGCGGCTTTTATTTTTTGTACTGAGAAATGATAGGAAAACTTTAAAATTCAAAATATAGGATTCAGGAAATAAAAACTGGCGATTTGCAATTTTAAAATTTTATCAAAACGTTTTTTTTTTAAACGGCTTCTTTCAATTTTGTCTGTTAAAATTATAAAAAAAAGTGAAAGGCGCTTTTTATTTTATTTTGACCCACTCTTGGCACGAGGTCAACCGATTTTGACAATAATTGGCAGGTTGGTTGCTTTCAGGGTGTAGACAAATAGTTTAGAAGGATTTTTGAAAATTCTCAAAATTGCCTATTTTACAGGGGCTCTAAGTTGAGGATTTTTTTAAAAGGAGTTTTTTTAAATCGCAAATATCTCAGCTCCTGTTCAAGATTGACCCTGGTGACCCGTGACCTTTTTTGATCTGGTCATTATATGTGATACATGATCGGAAAGAACAAGTCAAGGGAAACAATTTTTGTCGTTACATATTTTGTCGTATTTCTAACAGGAGAAAAGTTATGGCCGTTCAAAGCTGTTTTTGCATAAAAAAGCCTCGGAAAACCACGTTTTTTACCTTTTAACCCTGAATATCTCGAAAACGAAAAACATAAGTCTCACCATTTTTTATTATGTTGTTAGCAACTAAATAAGGTAACTTTTGGCTATTTTAAAATTAAAAAATATCACGTACCAGGTACTTTAGCAGATAAATAAAAAACTCGGGCTCCAAAAGGTGACCTTGAACTTTGACCTACGACCTTGGTCACTATTGCAAAGTTGTAGGACGTCTAAATCCTAACAATTTTGGTAATGGGATCATATGCGCTATCTTGAACAGGAGCTGAGATATTTGCGATTTAAGAAACTCCTTTTAAAAAAATCCTCAACTTAGAGCCCCTGTAAAATAGGCAATTTTGAGAATTTTCAAAAATCCTTCTAAACTATTTGTCTACACCCTGAAAGCAACCAACCTGCCAATTATTGTCAAAATCGGTTGACCTCGTGCCAAGAGTGGGTCAAAATAAAATAAAAAGTGCCGAAAATATTTTTTATATTACTAATTTTTAATTTAATTAAAATTTAAAATGTCGAAGGAATTTTTAAAGAGATTATTAAGATTTAATATTAATTTTTTCGTTTGTCAAACGAGCGATATGAAAATTCTAACAACCTAATTGAATTTTTTAACTATTTTTCTCGCTCAATTTCATATAACTCCAATTTAGTAATGTTCAAAATATTTTTTTCTCACAGATTTTCATTTTAATTTAAATTTACATCATTTTCATCTCACTTGTTTGCTTTGACGTTAAAAATTAATAGACCTCCTAATTTAATATTTGTCAGCAAAATTCAATGAAACCAGCAAGGAATGTGCGTTCAAAAGAGCTTAATTAATCCCTTAACTTAATCACCGGAGCAACTTTGTATTAAAGAAAAAGTTTTTGTTTGCCCGCTTTAATTAAAAATGTTAAAAACTTTCCGGGCAAAGAGGAATGCACGCGTGCTCTCCTGTGGAAGGAGCATCAGGTGTTGGCAATTTCAACAGGTACATTTTTTTATATATTTGTTGGATAAACCGTTGTTCTTCTTGGATCGAATAAATCTGCCTTGAGCAGGCGGGGGCGATTCAGAAACAATTTGTTCGCCGCGGCACATCCCCGGCATTTATCACGTGCGCACATGTGCGTCTCTCGATCGACTGCGTCGAGGCGTGTGGTAATTTGCGAACGACTCCTCGCCCAGGGACTGTGAGAAACGAGCCCTCGGCAGCCCCTCGCGGTTTTCAGATCCCTGCTGTGCACGTGGGCGTCGTTAAAAGCGGGGTTTCGCATTGATCGGCATAAATTTTAATCGGTTCTATGAGATTTTTGACACGTGTATTAAAATAACTTTTTAAATTAATCCCATCCTACTATTAATATGTGATAAATTTTTCAAAGTTTTGAATGTCAAAAATTGTTTGCTCCAATCATTTGTGCTGAAAACTTCTTCCGATTTTGATAGTAAAAATTATTTAATTAATAATTTGATATTATGAAAAATAATTGAACATCAAATGCGTTTCCCCTCTTTTTACAAAATTTTCAAATTAAATGGTAAACGGACCTATTCCAAGGCCAATAATTAATATTATTGATAAATTGAAGACACTGAAGTTCAAAAGAGTAAAAAAATCTATACCTTTTTTAAGCATTAAAGTTTTTATGTTTTCGCTCTTGAAACTTAAATAAGGCATTCTTCTCATTTTTTTTATATCGTATTAGTTTAAGTTTTATGTAATGCCCACCTAGCTGGAAAAAAAACAGAAATCGTTCAGCGCAATTCAAATGTGCGTTGAATGAGAAAAAAATCTCTATAAACAGAGAATGTGAACCTACATAAAATAATGAAATAGACGCTTTTATAAATTCCCCCATTTAAACTTGGCGGCTTTTATTTTAACCTATTTTGAGCAAAAAACCGTATTGTGAATTGTCACTTTATTTGCTGTGTCCAAAACTCAATATCAATCAAAGTTTCTCTCATTCCATATCTGACTGCGTTCAATATCGGAAGAACCAAACCACCTGGTCCGTGGATGGGTGTATATTTGCTGAGCGATTTCGGCAGCATGTTTGCCGAGTCGCCGTCATGAAGAAGAAGAAAACGGTCCGCTTTGATCAATAAAATATAAAATCTAATGCTTGGATGGAAGGAAGTTTCATCTTGCTAGATGGGTTGAGAGAAAAAGGAGGATGAAAGCAAACTCCGCGAACTGCCAGTCATAATAAGGGTTGAACATATTGAAATTGAAACACGCTTTCTCCAAAATCTTTTGACGTTACTTGTGCCATGAAAATCAAATGCTGCTGTGACTGAAGATTAAAAATAAATTCAGTTCAAAACAGAAAGTTTTTTTCAATATTAGTCACTTTTTGGGTAAAAATCTTTATTGGAAAAATTCAAATTTCAGAAACAAGTTTATTTTTTAGAATCGACAGTTATTTTCCCTTGAAAATTGATTTTTATCATAAAAAATTTAAAAATGAAAGTAATTAATTTAATTAATTGACAAAATAAGTTTTTATTCAATAAAAACTTCAAACCTTTGACTTTTATGTATTTTATTAAAAATTGTCTAACGCTTGTAAATTTTTTATGTTTGTGTTTTATTTTTATTAATTGATTTAAAGAAATCTCTAAAATTTGTATAATAATCCAAAAATATCAAAATATCCACTGAAGGTTGGAATAAAAATGGCGGAATTTTGCGTCCATCAAAAAATCGTTGGCGAACAATGGCGAATTCTTTCTTTTTCAAGCACCCTTGTTAGTTATGCATCGATTACGCGACTAGAGCGAGAGAGGCCGTGGACGGACGGACGATAAGCAGCGCAGCTTCCTGCGCTTTATTTGCGGAAAGCATTCTTTTTGCCTTGGTGGAAGCCTCTCTCAGGAGTGTGTGTTTTCTGTTGCAGGAGTGGGTCTGCCAGCTGGGGCAGGCGATGCGGTCCATTTCGCCCCCGTCGCCGTCACAAAGGCTGGCCCGGCTGCTGAGAGCAATGACTGGCGAACAACCGCAGAACAGGCCCTCCCTCGCCGGCATATCCAAGGTATGCAAAGCTGTTTTGTCACACTTTCCGCCCCATTCCCAAATGCCAAAGCCACACTGCTCAAACATCCATTACCAAATTTCGGTCAACTTTTCCAATTCAATTTATAGAACGAAAAAAATATCACAATTTACATAACAACAAATGTGTGTAAATTTCAATTTTAAACTTCTCAAAGTCAACAACAATGGCTACTGTCAAATTATTTGTGAAATTTCATATCAAATTATTTATAAAACATTTTGGTCGACTATTTGCGTTACAAATTAATTAAAGATTTGCTCACGATTTATGCCTTTTGAACACTAAATCTTACTCGAATCCACAAAATGGAATCATTTCCAATTAAAAATTAAGCATATTGGTGAGATCAGTCCATTTTACCAACCCTTGAATATGAATATTTTTGATTTCATGACAATTTAAAAAAAAAATGGTCCTTTTTTACAAAAGCGAACAATTATAAATTTGAGCATTAAAGCTTCATGTAAAATTTAATTTTTATTGGTTATAATCTCGCTTTTTTTTGTTCATTGTGGAAATAATTTCTGTTGAATTATTCATTATCACCCGCGTAAGAATTTACGTAAACTTCGCTTTCTATTCAGAAAAGGGATGCAACAGAAATTCTAACTCGTCCCTACCAAAATCCTCTAGAGGGTTGTGTAATTTAATTTTGGCTGCAAATTATTTGACTTTTGTTGTTCCGCCCCTCTGGTTGCTTTTGTTGGAAAGGAAAAATGGCGTTTGTTGATGCCAAATATTTAGGGATGCCATTAATTAAATCCACAGAGAGCTTTGGAACGGCCTCTCAATGAATGACGCTTTTGTTCGGTCCCTTCTAAACGGAGCTCGTTAAATTTCTCGCCTCGCGCAACGACGACGACAAGCCAGCCATCTTTCTCTTTCAATTCGGCCCGCGGATGAATTATTTCGGTTGCGCAAACGTGACGATTAATGATCAGGCAAATATATAATACGGACCATACACTTAATGAAACGTTTCATAAATGTCAAGCAAGCCCTGCGAAAATTTATCAAGAGACTTCTTCGGCGAGTCGGTTTTAATTAAACAGGCTCGCTTCCCATTTGAAAATTTATTTCTCTGCCATCGATCACTCGGCCGTTTCTTCTTCCTCCTCAACCGGCTCCTTCTTAACCTCTTCATTTTCCTCAACTTTTACCTCGACGATTTCTTCCTCCGGCCTGACCTCTTCTTTTTCTTCCTCAACTTCTTCACTTCCCTCTGACCCCACTTCATACTTTTCCTCCTCCACTTTGACCTCCTCCACGTCATCTGCAACTTCCTCACCAAATCCGATTTCCGGCTCAATTTCCAAAATATCCTGTTCGTCGTCGCTCGAAATCAGCAGCTCGTCCAAATTGTCCGAATCCTCTTCGATTCCTCCGCCCTCCTCGAGGATTGCCTCGACCTCCGTGGGTCGACCTTTGGCCTGGGCGGCCTGTCTGACGGACAACTCGGCGTAGTGCTCGCGAGCCTCCCTCAACCGCCTTGTCCGTTCGTCCTCGTAAACGCTGGCCGCGTTCGCACTCGGCGACAGTTTGGTCGCCGCAGGAATGTTGGTGGGCTGCGCGGCCAACTGGCGCGGCCTCTTCTTCTCGGCCTCCATCGCCCTCGCGTACATCATCAGGCCCAAGTGCTGCGTGGTCGACGTGTAGGTGCGGCCGACGTTCTTGGTCGGAGACTCGCCCGCGTACGGCAACACGTCCCACTCCCTCCACCGCGGTCCAAAATCAGGGGGTTCACTGAAATAGAAAATAAAATAATAATCGTTAATTAATCTTATTTTGTTGAAAATAACAAAAAAAAAAAAGGATTTAAAATTTTTCTACTTGCTTAATTCGTGAAAATGACAAAGAAACTGGTAAATTTTAAAACCTTCTTGCAGGTATGGACACACATGGCTGTTTTTGTTTATGAGGAACTGGATTTTGCATGAAAAAATTGGTTATTTTTGGTAATATTAAAATAACTCCCGAATTTTAATCTTTAACGTTTAACTAATAATAATTCAATATAAAATATGTAATTTACTACAAAATTTGGTGATGCATGATATTATTTTAGGTAATCCGTCTTTAAGAAAGAAAGTTTTATAATTATATATCCCAATAATTAATCAGGGAAAATTTTTGGAATATTGCTTTTATATACATATATTATTTAAAATTTAATTATAGAAATAAGTGTAGATAAGGTGCTCAAATTGACAGCTTTTATAGTTTGAATTGTTATTATTTTGAAATTAATGCAAAATCACCAATCTTCGGCAACCTCTTTTTGTCGTTTCCAGCTTCCTAAAATTGACTATTTTGAAACTATTACTCCAATCTCAACTCTGCCATTTACAAATTTCAAATACAATCACTATTTTTTTACTGAATATTGAATAAATCTCCCTATTTCTATTTAAAATTTTAGTAATTTAAAAAAAATAAAAAATAAATAATCAATTCACCAATTCATTTCCAAATTTTTTTGCATAATGCTTCCCTATTCAGCCTATTTTTCTTTGCATTTTCATCCTTTTCTATTTTCTTAACAACTATTCCATTTTTTTTTTTTTTAATGCTGAAATAAATACTCACATTTTGGCGAGGCTGGGCTTCCAGTGTCGCTCGGTCCTGCCGGTCTGCATGCGGCAGATGTGCGTGTCCTCGGCCTTGTCCTCGAGCCAGGCCAGTTTCCTCCGCAGGTCGGGGCAGCGGTTGGGCTTGGGTTTGGGCGGGCGCAGCGAAAAGGGCTCCCTCTTGACGCGACGCTCCCACCGACTCTTCTTCCGTTTCTTTTTCTTCTGCGTCACGTCGAGCCTGCGACAAGGAGCGAATTATTAATTTCACTTGACAAGCGCGAGCAAATTGAGCTTTTAGCCGAGATGGCGACACTCACATCACTTGCAGGCCGCCGCCGTCAATGTCGACGCGGATGCCGCCCTTGTCGCGGTACGTCACCTGCGCGTCCACCACGTTGTTGGCCGTGCGGGTCGTGAACGTCGACACCACCTCCAGGGTGGAGCCGCGTGGTGTGATGCGACCCATGGTCGTCACGCGGGGACTCTCCATCGGGTAGAACCTGAAATTGAAAATTTAGAGAGAGAAAATCCATGAAATGGAAATTAATTCTTGTTTGACATGTTCTTAATTCATCTACTTTTGTTTTATTATATGAACATATCATGCGCTATAAAATAATTTCAAATTAAATCAATTAATTTTTTATTCTATTTTAGTAAACTTTTTTTAAATTTTTTTATCAATTTAGTTATTTACTCTTCTTTTTGTAAACATAAATTTTATTTGGTTATTTTTATGCTCCAAATTGCTTAAATTTAAACCCTTCCTGCTACTAAATAATCAAAAGAGCTTTTGCTTACTTGTCTAACGGCAACACCACCGTCGGCATCGGACCTTTGAACGTGGCCATGATTCCTGTTCCGAGAACGCGTTCGTTCCACTTTTTTATTTCCTCATTTTTCTCCGAGTCGACCCTTTTCATCTCCTTGAGCAGCGGCAGGTTGATGACCTCGACGCCGCAGTTGTGCCAGTCCGTTTGCGTCTCCTTGGGTGACATCGGGGGCGGCGTTTTGGGCCCCAGGTCGGGCACGACCGCCTCTTCCAAGGTCAAGCTTCGCACAGATTCGTCCGACTCGACAGCCAACGGCTTCAGTTTGCTCAGCCGCTTCTCCTTGCCCGCCGACGGGCCTTCCTCAGACGGGCCGGATGACTGGTCAGCCATCAGCAGGTCGTTCGTTGACGACATGTTCTCGCTGGTTGACGCCAACGCCTCCTCGGCCTCCGCGATCAGCCGCTTCAGGACGTCGTCCTCGTCCACCGTCAACTCCAGCTCGGACTTTCCTTCGGAAAGTTCAGACTCGCCGAGAAATTCCTTTTCCTCGGAAATTTCTTCAGACGGTTGTAGGATTTTTTCAGAAGTTTCGGCACTCGCGATTTTGGACTCGTCCGGAACTTCCTGTTCTTCCGCGTTTTCTTCAGACGGTTGTTCGATTTCTTCAGAAATTTCAGAATTGACGGGAAGTTCTTCATTTTCCGGTTCCTGCAGCTCCTCCTCTGAGATTTCACTCTCCCGGTTTTCTTCCTCGGCCGCCTGCAAATCGTTATCCATCTTTGAATGCCTTTCAAAAAAGAATTTTGTTTACTGAACAACAATTGGATTTTTGAAGAATGGGTATTTGAATCCGACAACAAAAATATTGCCTCGTAAACAACAATGAAGATGATTCTTCCTTTTTAGTATTTGGATTGAATTCTATTTAGTTGCAAATTGTGTTTAAGGAACTCCCTATTGACATAGTCTAATCAAGTCTTTACAACAATTGAAGCCATTTTTGTACAGAAATTATATTCGCTTAATCTTTTAATTACACTTTACAAATAAAAATGGAAAAAAGGTAGTGAACATGAAAAAGTAAAAAAAAAGATTATAATTTTCTTTCATCTGAAGTGTTGCCCAAATATTTAAAGACCTTTTCATCAAAGTGAAATTGGTCAAATAAATATTTTTCTTATGGCTATCAAATCAAGTATTCAACAGATCCAACAGTTTTGCACCGACGAAAGAGTTGGATCAAATTGGATCCAACAGTTTTGCACCGACGAAAGTGTTGGATCAAATTGGATCCAACAGTTTTGCACCGACGAAAGTGTTGGATCAAATTGGATCCAACAGTTTTGCATCGACGAAAGTGTTGGATCAAATTGGATCCAACAGTTTTGCACCAACGAAAGTGTTGGATCAAATTGGATCCAACAGTTTTGCACCGACGAAAGTGTTGGATCAAATTGGATCCAACAGTTTTGCACCGACGAAAGTGTTGGATCAAATTGGATCCAACAGTTTTGCACCGACGAAAGTGTTGGATCAAATTGGATCCAACAGTTTTGCACCGACGAAAGTGTTGGATCAAATTGGATCCAACAGTTTTGCACCGACGAAAGTGTTGGATCAAATTGGATCCAACAGTTTTGCACCAACGAAAGTGTTGGATCAAATTGGATCCAACAGTTTTGCACCGACGAAAGAGTTGGATCAAATTGGATCCAACAGTTTTGCACCGACGAAAGTGTTGGATCAAATTGGATCCAACAGTTTTGCACCGACGAAAGTGTTGGATCAAATTGGATCCAACAGTTTTGCACCGACGAAAGTGTTGGATCAAATTGGATCCAACAGTTTTGCACCAACGAAAGTGTTGGATCAAATTGGATCCAACAGTTTTGCACCGACGAAAGAGTTGGATCAAATTGGATCCAACAGTTTTGCACCGACGAAAGTGTTGGATCAAATTGGATCCAACAGTTTTGCACCGACGAAAGTGTTGGATCAAATTGGATCCAACAGTTTTGCACCAACGAAAGTGTTGGATCAAATTGGATCCAACAGTTTTGCACCGACGAAAGTGTTGGATCAAATTGGATCCAACAGTTTTGCACCGACGAAAGTGTTGGATCAAATTGGATCCAACAGTTTTGCACCGACGAAAGTGTTGGATCCAACAGTTGCATTGGAGAGTTGCATTCCGTAAACCAGCCATCAACTATTTCGATTGCTGAGCCAGTTGAACTTGCTGTCAATTTTAAACAAAAAGGTCAGTCGATGGTAGAAAAAAAATTAAAACGGAGTAATAAAATTTTCTCGACATAGGCCGAGTGTCATTGCATTTTTGACGGTTTTAGTTGCAAATGATAGTTTTTACGTTCTTCGCTTTCACTCTCACAATCTCGTCAAGATTATTTCGCCCGCATCGCATTTGGGAGCGCGTTGCTCGAACTTCCCGTGGAATGCGGCCAGTTCGCCCCACCTTTCAACCGGAGGCGATGCAGCGCAAATTGTTTATGTAATGAGCGCATTGTTCGGCGCCGGAGCTTTGTTGCCTCACTATCTTTTGTCCGGCAGCTGCTTTTTGTCTCTTTTCATGTATATTTGCATGGCCGCAAAAGAAGCCGCCTCCCGCGGGTAATCACGGTGAGAGCATCGTGTGTGTGTGTGGGTGGGTGCCTACCGTGTTCATGCGGGGTCCGTCGAGACGTGTTATGCAACCCGCGCGACGGGCGTGTTTCGTACGCAGCATAACCACGGACGCGACAGGCGTTTTAAAATAACAAACGGCCTGAGAAAGTGAAAGATGGCGAGAGCGAGAAAGGAAAAGGAGGCAAAGAAAAGTTTCCTGAAAAAGGTGGAAAGCAAATTACTTGCGTTGTTTGCTTTCTGGCCTTGGGAATTTTGTTTGCCGGTTCTTTCTGTTGTTGGTAAAAATCAATTGTATTGAAAATAAATTTTAAAATGTAAGAAAAATTAAATTAAGAACAATTTGCAGGTTCCTTTGAATGTTTTCTATTTTTTTGAGCGAAGAATTTAAAATATATGATTGAAAGATTTCCATGATTCGTAAATTAGAAGTTAAAAATACAGTAAAATGTATTTTGTTTATGTTGTTTTTTGATGGAAAAATATTATCGGAGCGCCTCTTCGTCTGTGGTGCCAGATAAATATTTAACTTGATCATTTAGTGGGGAATGACAGCAGGTCGGTCTCATCGATACAAATTGTGTTTTGGCACGGTCGGTATATATCCGCGGGCGGCGGCTCTTCTTCTCCCCTGGGTGCTGCCGATGGATGACGTCTTTCTCCTTGACAATTGGACGGTCTTCTTCGCGAAATGGCAGGAAATCATTGCCAGAATGCGCTCCCCTCTCATTTCAAGGGTCTCTCCACAAAGTGCTGAATAATGCGCCGCGAGATGCTACACAGGGAAATTCAATTAAAAACGGCACCCCGTCCGAAATCGCCGATCTGAAGGGGGGCACTTCCAAATCTGCTGAAAACCTCAAAAGTGGAGGAACGTGGTCGCAGCCACCGGGTTTTGAAGTGCATATCTGATCAAAACAGCTGAAGAGGGTGACCCAATTTCAGACTGCAATCTTTCAAATGTTTCGTCATCGTTCATCGTTTTCCTTTCGTTAGAGATGATGCCAATTTAAATGTTATCATATTCAGCCTATTTAATTCATGTGAAAAGAACAAGTCTTGAAGATTTATTTTGTTATGCGTAAGTTTAAAAATAATTAATAAAACAGAAGGAGGAATTATTTTTTAATATTTTTTTTTTTATCAATTTTGTAATGTTTAATTTTACAGGGGAAAATTTAATTTTAAAGACACAATGATTGATGTATTATTTCATTATTAATTAAATATATGAGAGTTTAGGTTAATTTTAAGTAATATATTGGCATGTTGATGTTTTTTATAAAAAATTAATAATAATAATAATAATAAAATATGCAAAATATTCACTTTCGGAAAAGTTAACTTTTCGCCACAATTAACCGAAATACTGTTTAAAAGATGGCTTCGTTGTAATCAGCATTCGGATTAGGATTAAAAATGCACGTTCCGCAACAGCAATTTTCTTGAAAAGGGACTAATTTCGCAGGCAGCAGTAATTGGGCGTGCAGCCATTAGTCCTTTCGTTCGGAGACGTGTGCGAGTTAATGAGGCGTCAAAAACGCCCCGCAGTCATTTGTCTGTTGTCGGTGCGCTTATGAAACTGCTGCTTGTTGCAGGAACTTGAGGACTACAGCGGCCAAGGCAGCGCGGACCTCGTCAGTGCCCTCTACGCCGAGGTCATGGGCCCCTCAGAGGTCAGTTTTAATTAATTAATAAGACAATTTTTCGACATTTTGTGAAATTTACATATTCAATTTTTTTAATTTAAATTAAATTTAAATTTGCTCTAGCGAAAAAATCCTTCCAGTACATTTATTGTTCAATATTTGCTCCATTTTAGTCTTTTACATTCAATATTGATTTAAAAAGAAATTAAATTACATATTTGTATATTTCGATATTTTCAGTCCGTTGTGTCCAAGATGACGAGTGAAAGTTCAAAAAATACGTCTGACGAGCATGAAAACGGGCCGATTTTCTCCTCAACGCCGATGTTGAACTTGAAGGAGCAGCCAGTGGTATGTGAAACAATTTATTGAATACCAATAGAGCGTCGAGATTGGAGCACCAATTTATTTCTTTTCGCAGTTCGATCTGGCAGAGGAAGGCACGCCGATTCTGCCGACGAAGAGGCCGCCGCAAATCACGCGGTCGCTCTCAAGGTGAGCGAGCTGATTCAGCATATGCCCAATTGTGCTCAGCCGGGCTGAAAATATTGCCTGCAATATTTTAATATACACGGCAGCTTTTTGAATAATGATGTGCCACTTGGATCGTGAATATTTCATGGCTTTGTGTACGGCCTGCGAGACAAAGGGCGGCTTTCAACCGCTCGCCCTTACTTTTTGTCTCGGGCATTTTTGTTTTTCGTCACATATTGACCCAGATTAACAAAGACACTCTCTTGCTCCATTAAAATACACTTTTTGTCTGGCGATGCTCGTTTGGAATATTTCCAGCCGGAATTTGCTATTAGGGGCTCCCTTTGTTTAGTTGAGATTATCGAAGCGCTCGAAATATGGCACTCCCTTGGGGCACTTTGGCAAATTGCTGGGAAAGTTTAAAGCTCTTCAATTTGAAATGATAATAACAAAAAAACAGCTTCTTTGAAATTGGAACATAAGGAAAGTAGAAACACAAACTCTTTGTTCAACAAGGAAGAAAATTAGTGCTGAAGTAAAAGCAGCGCTTAAATTTTTAATGATTCAAGAAAGCCATCCATTTGGGAAAGTGGATTTTTGTAGGAAAAAAATGCAATCAAAGAAGACAGAATTGATTTTATTAAAGAAAATTTTTAACTGATAAAAAAACTTATAAGTTTTCAGTGTCCATAATTCAAACTTTTCATCTTGTTTCTTCTGCCAAAGTCGATGAATAAAAAAAATACTTTGAAAAATGATTGGAAAGGTTTTGACAACCAGCAGAGGTCTGCTGAAACGCTCAACATTTAGAATTTTAATTTTTTCAAAAAATGCTCTATAATTGGAACATGCACATCCATGACAAAAATTAATTTGATTTTATAATATTAAACTTTGAAAATTCAATTTTTAATTATCAAATTTTATTTTCATTGATTTTATTTTTATTGTCCTTTTATTCATAATAATTGGATTAAATTTCAAATTTCAGTCCGTCTAATTCGTCCAAAGGCCTAATAAAACGCAACCCAGTGCACAGGGCACCGTCCAGACTCTACAGAGCCAAACCTCCGACTATTGGAAAGTACCTTTGTCCTTCAACCTGTGTCGGTCCTGAGTTTGTGGTCCGCAGTTCTCTTCCCAGCAAGGAAATTCTAGTGCCAGACGACGACAAGGTGAGGATTTTCTTTCAGTTCTCCCTGTTTTAGAAAGAAAAATGCATGCAATGAATTCTGGTTGGCGAGTGGGACATTTTTCATCATTTCCATTGTGCCTGAAAAACTCGGTCATACTCCATGCAAGAAAGACATGCCGGAGTAAATAAAAGGGGGAATATTAAAGTTCTTGAGTTGAAAGATGTTTCCCTCGCAGCCATTCCAAGTATCTTTTCTCCGGAGTTGTAATTGCGAGCAAATGTTTCAGCGGGTGGGAAAAAGACGGCTGACGGTGGTGCTGCTCGGAGGCCAGCGGCTCGACGTGTTGTGTGCACCATCTTCTGTCACGGCTGCGAACGTTCTCCAGGTTGGTTTCCATTACCGCACACAAATTTTGGCGTTCTGCCCAATGCCAAAGAATTGACACAAAATGATATTAAAGAGCTTCTGTTTAAATTTCTTCATCATAAAATTTTGTAAAATAAAATCAATAAAAAATATTCCATTTATAACATTATTTATAAAAATAATCTAAATTTATAAAAAGCAAATTCTTATTTGCCATTTTTTTCTTGTTGCATTTATTACCAATGAGAGAAATGTTTGCTTGTACATTAAGACTAAAAATTAAATTATAAAAATGTAACATTTATTTTTTTATTATTTCAATGCTGGAGTGATATTTCTGAAATTTGAAGATAAATTTTATGTTAAATATATAATTTCAATTTCCCAGGTTGTTCTTGACCAGGAAGGTCTGAAGCAAAGTTTCATGCTTGGACTTGCACATCGCGTTGGCGCCGACCTGATTTTCCTGCCGCCGACAATTCCTCTTGCAAAAATCGCGCCCAAAAGTTGGCTTTCCAGCATTCTGAAGGGACCTGATGTTCCCTTCACTCTGTTCGTCAGGGTGCAGCTGTTCCCACCAACCCTGAGAGGTGTTCGTTGGGAGGCTAAACACCTTCTGTACTTGGAGCTGAGAAGGGCGCTGATCGAAGGTCGCCTGCTGTGTTCCCAGGGACAGCAGGAAATTCTGGCCGGTCTTGCGCTGCAAGCTGAATTTGGTGATTTCTCTTCTCAGGTGTGTAATTAATTAAAAATGGAAATAATAATCCATTTAGATAAAATAAAAAAGAAAATTCATATTAAAAATTAAAGTGCTGAGATTCAAAAGTAATTTTCTTTTAATAAAAAAAGTAGTTTTTCCAAATTGAATTGTTTTATATTATAGAAATAAATTTTTTTTCCTGTCATATTTCATTTCAGCTTCATGATTCTGAATACTTTATCCTTGAGCATTACATTTCTGAAGAGTTGCTCAGTGATTCGAGCAAAGAGCAGCAGGCGCTGTTGAGATACAACATGCAGGAGCAGCACCAGGCGCGCCGCAGCCTTGATCCTGGAAGGGCCGAAGAACTTTTCGTCAGCAACTGCCAGAGTCTACGTGACTACGGCACCCACTTCTTCCAAGCTAACCAGTTGATGAAGTACGGCCGTAAATTGTCTGTCAGGGTCGGAGTTCGAAGCTCGGGAATCGTCGTCAAAGACAGCGAAAGCAACACTGAAACTTACCAAATGACTTGGACGGCCATTTCCAAACTCAGCTTCAGCAAGGAGCAACTCGTCGTCCAGTGCTCCGAGGGGAAGTTCAAGTTTGTTTTTCTCCATAAAATGTAAGTAATTTTAACAAATTTTAATAATAAATGAAAAAGAACATTTATTTTTTTCTATAAACATTTTGAAAATACAAGTTCAAATTTTGCTACGTAAAAATGTTCTTCCTTTTCTCAATTTAAAAAAAAAACCTCTGTACTCATCCAGATCTGATGCGGTAAACAAAATATTTCATTGAATTTCCAAACAAAAATTGCAATTTTCTTTTCTTCATTATTAGACAAAGATGTATCATTATTATTTTGCATATAATGTTTCCTAATTTTCTCAAAATAAAGGCAAACCCCACACTTACTTGTGTATTTAATTTTAACTGATTTTTTTTTTATATTCTTGATTCCTCAGGAGCCACTTTGTGTTTCACCTTGCTTCTTTACACCACCAATTTTCCCTGCGGCTCAGAAACCAAGTGTACAACACTGATTCTCTCTCAAAAGGTATTTAAACAAACATTTTTTTTTTAAATAAATTGTAATGAATTTGTTTTTGTAGCTTTTGGGGTCATAGCTCTGCAGAGTTATGAGCCTGAAGACGAACGGGACACTTGCTCCTTGAGGTCTGGTGTTTCGAGACACAGTTCGGTGGTCTTGAAGCAGAACAAGGAGAACCAGGAGCAAGTGCGGAGGCCTCTGGGGGTGCGGATGGGCACCAGGGCAGTGTTTGAGAGCAGGGAGAGCCTGGTCAACTCAGAAACCACTCCTAGCTCTCCGGAACCCACCATTCCGGAAGCGTACATCATAAGTAATTTATTAATTTATTTTGAACCATAGATAAAATTAGAAATTGCAGACGCCAGTATGAAGAGTGACGAGGTACTTTTCAAAGATGCCTCTGACATGTCTGTGACGGAGGAAAGAATCCTGCGATCCGTCACTTTGGACAAAGATGAAAATGGGAGCTTCGGAATCCAAGTGACAGAAGGATCAGACGGGGCCGTCTACATCCAAGCAGTATTGCCTGGCGGTGCAGCTGACAAGCAAGGGGTCATAAAAAGAGGTAAATTTAAACCATTCCTTTAAAAAATTCTTCCAATTTTAAGTATATCAACCGTGGAACAGTTCTTATTATTTCAAATTATCATTTAATTGCTTTTAATTATATATTAAATTAATTTACCACAGTGAATCTAAATCAACAGTTATTAGAAAAGGAATTTGTAATATTAACAAATAAAAATTGTTTCAGGAGACCAAGTAATAGCTGCAGGAGGCAAAACTCTCACCGACTTGAGGTACACAGAAGCTCTGAAAATTCTGCAAGACTGCTGTTGTTCAGCCCAAAAAGTGGATCTCGTTGTGTCGCAACTCTACACCGAGGGACTAACGCTGGTGACGTCCCAGGTGACTGCCAAGTACCGAAAGCAAAAGGCCTCGCTCTTCCCGCTCAGTTCCAACCGGTTGGACATTGTGTCCGCCCTGCAGAAGCCAGTTGAGGACCACTACTTGGCTCAAATCCGATACCAAACCGACCAGGAAACTAACGAAATGCTTATTAGCAAGAAACTGCCGCCGTCTCCACAGATTAACTAGATGACTAATGATCTCTATTCTATATTACTCTATTTTTCTTGACTTTGCTGAGAATATTATTTGTTTGGCAACGAATGATCTGAATATATTTTATAAATTTACAGTAGAAATAAAAATGCATATTTACTTTCAAATAAACAGAATAATATGGTGTTGCATTCATGATAAAAATCCTGAAAAATCCAAAGTTGCAACTTGCAAGATTTCCTGCGTTTTAAACTTGATAATTCAATTATACTGACATTGAAATACAATTTTGTTAATCAATTATTTTATTACCTTTTGTGTGATAGAAGATTAGAAGATAATATTTAGCAAGCAAGAGAAATCTGTAAAAACAATTAAAGTTTGAATTAGATTGAGCTTGCCGTAAAAAAAATATATGTAAACCTTGCTCTAAAAATGGTTTTCCCAATTTGACAATGGCCAATAATATGATATAATATAATAATTTGCAAATTTATAGAATGCCTTCAAATAGATCTGATGATTGTAAGGTAACCACTAAAGCCACAAACTACATCAACGACCGACGAGAAAAGGAAGATCTGCTTTGTTAGAGAGATTTTCTTTTTATTAAAAACAGCGATTTTCAAGGAAAAATAAAATAATAGGACGCTCCTGCGAACAGCTCAAAAATTCCAAGTCAAAACAGATTCAAACTATTTGAAGTTCTCGCGCTTCTCGCATTCCGCGAGATTCTCAATTCTCGGCGCTGATTGGCTACTGGCTGCACTCGACATTCAACTTTGATTCGACTGACCACCGTGAATCGACAATCTTGCGACTTTTGCTTTCTCCATTTCCTTCCTGATTAAAAGTGCCGAATCCGAGTTCCGACCATTCATTCTGTCTTGTTGCCCGACGCTGGATTGCTTACGTATGTACTTGCCGATAACTGAAAGTTGTTTCGTTTCAAAAAACGTTCTGGTAAAAGCTTTAAAGTTCCGAAACGTCATAACGTATTATGTAATAATTAACGGCAAAATTTCGCGTTTCGAATTTTCCAATGAGCCGATCTTAATAAAAGATTATTTATATTTTAACGAAATTTGTTATATCCTCAGGAAATTGCGTGCGAGACGCGAGACCCACACAGACTATGGTTTAAAAGTCAATTTTCCACGAACTTTACCCTTTTTTATAAAAATTAAATAAAGTTTATACTTTTTCGTCCATCTTTAAAACACCCAATGTTTCGCCATAAAGATTTCTTTTGTTCGCATAGCAAGCAGCGTTTTCTTTATTAAAATGACATGTGTGTGTGTTAATACTTTTTTAATTTGGCTCATCGTGAAGACCGGCCTTAAGCTTCATAAACTTTTGTTTTCATTTTACTTAATTGGTCATGATTTTTTTTACGTTATTCAAATTACATATAAGGTCTTTGTAATATAAGCAGCGTTACTATTAGTGCTAACAGTTTCAGGTCTGTTAATGGAGGGATCAAAGAAGTCTGCTGCTTCGACTGAAGTCGGCACCAGCGACACCCTTGTGTCGAAGGATCCGCCTCAGGATGATATTCTGGAAGATATCAAAGATTTGCCTAATGACGATCAGGTAAATTATTATAACAGAATACATCGTAGAAGTTAAAGAATTCAAAAAGGACTTTTTAAACTTTCCGGGGTTCTTTCTAAATGAGAGTTAAGAATGTCAGGAGTGTTCCTTTCTTGGTCAAATTTAAATAATATATTTTGTGATTTTTATCCTTTTTAGAATCAGGAGGGCCAAGTCCAGGGCACCCTTTCTGCACCTGACCGTCAAAATTTGAATGATAAAATTGAGCGTCTGATCGATGAAGCTCTTCGGTCACCAGAAAGACTGAAAAAGGAGGATGCCTTTCAAACCTTCTCCAAAAAGGTGGAAAAGCAATACAAACGTTTTAATGAAGGCCCAGAGGACGTTTTGAGTCTGGAAACCCTGGAGAGCATGTGGAGCTCGTTGACTCCTGAGGAACAAATGGAGTTTGAAAACATTGACTCTGAATAGTTATAAAATTGTAAGTGATCCTGCTGCAGTGCGACAGTAATTGAAAAGCTAAATTTTTTTATTGTGTTTATGCTTGCAGGAAGACACGAAGCATATGGCAAGGAGGACGCCTTGTCAATTTGAGTTTTTTTTTCTTTTGTTAAGTTAGAATTTAACTTTCATCTCAATGATAAAAATCCGAGCGTTGCGTATGACCAGAAGAGAATTGTTGTTAATTCAGCGAAAGGTTTTTTAGTTGAAGTCTGAAACATATATGACAAACTCCTGAATTAGTTAAGGGCCATTCGAACATTATACCTCAAGTGTTGAATGTTCAAAAGAATTTAATTTATGTAACTCGCATGCACATAAAGTGTATTTAAATTATGAATTGTAGCTTCTCTTGACCAATGAAACATTATTGTTCTTTTAATATTTATGTAATTCCGCCAAGAAAAGTCACATTGTGGCTCTCTTAGATGACGTGCAAAGCACACCAAATATATGTCATATTATGTGTTGCGAAGTCTGGATAATATGCACAAAATAGACATGTTAATAAATTAAAATTGATCGAAGATTTTTTTGGAAATTCATTCCATTGCATCCCTCATGAATTGAAAGATTATCGGGATTTTTTGAAACTAGTGCTTTTTAGTTTATCCTAAAAATAGAAAATATAAGAGAGAATATTTTTCCACTTCGCAAAAGATTAATTTGAACTATCAATTCTCAACTGACGCATATTATTGTTCCTTGCAGAGCTTTGTCTCTGCGCAACACTTTGTCTCGGGGGATTTCCCTCTGAAAGCGCAGGAAACGACTGATTGTATTTTGGACATAATGTGCGGGCTCCAAATTTTCCATTTGATCTAACTTCTTGCCAAGTCTTTGCTTGGATGCCACGCACTATCTACGCTACAAACAATGTTGTAAATTGCTTTCACTGCTGTTTTCTTGTATAAAAAATTTCGCCAGTCAATTTTATAAGAAAATGTTCAGCATAAACCATGCGCAGTTTATTAAGTTGCAGAAACTCCAAATTTAAGATATTTTTTAATCAGTGTGCGACTGTGCATATTTACATTGAATAATAAGAAATACACTTAATTGAAAAAAAATTACAAAATATATTAACATCAAAATCAAGAATTTGTTTTAGCAAATTATTTTCAATTTTATTAATTTAAATTTGGATAATTATATAGACGTCTTAAAACTGTATATTTAGTTAAAAAAAGCACTTTCAGCGCAATAAATGTTTATACAGTTCTCTCCAAAAGATCTCAAGCTGCAAACGAATTGAAAGAGCAGATTTTTGACCAAATAATATGTCCTGCTTGGTGGCCGAGTTGTCAAGAAATTGTTCTTTGGGAAAATTTCCACATTTTCCACCCGTACTGCAGGGCGCAGATGACCTCCAAGTTGCGACCAACATCGCCTATGAAATGGTTCATTTTGGATTTAATTATCAATTATTTATTTCATATTTGACGAGTTTTCGACACACACAATTATGCTCTCCTGTTTTTGCAGAAGCTGTGACCACCTCGCGGGGATTTATATGTAGGTCCTCTCAATATTGCTATGTTTAGGAACAGTTGATTAAAATTAAACTGTAAACATTTTCATTTTTGTCTTTACAATATATTATTAAGAAAAAATTAAAGCGCTCTTTATACGAAAATACAAACTGCGTTTATATATCGAGTTATTATTTCATAATGTCTTTTTCAGTATGACCAGTTTTAATCACACGTAAATAATCAAAGTACTTTTTAATATTATGCAAGCAATTAATGAATTATTATTATTAAATGCTTTTGAGTATTAGGATAATAGTTACAGTTGAGTATATTTTTATTATCATTTTGGCATGGTTTTAATGGTTTGCAAAATAACAAATGACCAATTTAATAGAATTTTATCAGTAACATCAATTTAATCACAACAATATGATTTAAACCAGATTTAATCTTTATCACATTTCAACCTAAGGAATAATTAAATTTTATTCATATTATCTCACACTCAAAATTAAATCTCAGTAATTTGTGTTGGATTTTATTAGGACAAATATGATGTCCGCGATCTTTCTTTGTGAAAATTATTAAGTTTTTGTTAAAGAAAAAGGAAAAGCTTTGGAGTACAATATAATAATGTTACAGTTGAGATGTGAAAGTCAGAATACAATGCACTCCACCTTGGGCATAAAGTGCTCGAAGAAGGCAGTGAGATTGAGGAATGGCATGGGTGCACAATGGCTTTGATAAGCATTCAGAACAACCTTCTCCAGTTTGGTGGCTTGAAAAGCCAGATTTTTGATGGCATCCGCCATATTATGGGTCAAATCGCAGCTGCCAAAATAGAGCCAAAGCACCTTAAGCTCTCTGAAGCTCTGAGGGTCGCGTCGCAACTTCAGAATCAGGTGATGGGTGAATCCATTATGGATGAAGTTCATCACAGGCCCAATGTGAAGATACTCCAAATCGTCAGATGAATCGATCACGTGGTTCATCACTAAGCTGTTAAATCGGCTGCCAGTGGTGGAAATCTTCACACTCCTCAGATTCCTATCAACATATTTATACTTTTAGATTCATTCATACAAATATACACATCACCTCTCATTTAGTTTTTAGTGATAAAATTTTAAAAGAATAAATTTTCTAGCTCTCTAAATTGATATGTGTTAATGGTTTAACGCAATTTCTTGATTATAGTCTGTTTTCGAAATTTTTCATGAACGCAAAGTGATGGAAACGACCAATATAACATTTTTCATTTTTTATATATATAAAAAGAAACACTCTTTTTGCTTATTTAAAAGAAGAGCGTAAAATTTCTTACTGGAAAATGTCCACCGAGTTGAATTTACAGTCATCAATGCATGAAATGTTGCCTTCGATGTGGAATTTGGAGATTTGGGGGCAGTAGTTGAAAATCTGGCTGATGCTCAGCACAATGTCCCAATGGTGACCGTCTTTCACTTCGATCACCAGCTCTTGCAGCTGTGGCCCCAGGTTGCTCAGAGTTGTTTGCAGGAAACCTTTGGTGATGAAAGTGAATCGGATATTCAGCAATCGCAACTTACTCCAGCTGAAATATAACAATTTATTAATTATTCAAAATGCAACAACGCAATCAAAATATTTTTACTTCAAGAAGAAATCCATTTGATTGTGGAAGATGTGGGAATCACCGGTAAGGTACAGTTCCTCGACTTGGGTGAGCATGTCAGTGTCGTACTTTGGAGCCTCAGCCAAACAAAGTTTCTTGAGTTTTATTTCAGGATACATGTTATGCTCCGACAGAGAATTTAGGACTTTAGCGTGGTCACATGTGACCGGCGAAGAAGGCCACAGAACTTGCAGGTTGGGAATAGCCAACAAGAGGTATGCCATGGTCTCCACATCTTTCGTTGGCTTTTCGTACATGGAAAGCTTGCTTCCGTGGAAGTCCAGACTCTCCAGTTTGTTTAGCTGCATCAAAACCTCCCTCTCCGCATCACCAATTTGTAACATTGACACATGCAGCAACCTAAAATTTTATTTTATTACTTCAAATTATAGAAAATATTATATAATTATTTTTAAATTTTTTTTAAGGTAAAAGATCTGATTTGTGTTCTTCTTAAATAATGCAATTTTTCAATAATATTTGATATCAACCTTGTTAATGCAAATCAGATTTTTTTACTAAAATATTGCAGCTTCAACACGTCGCGTTTGATCAATTTCATTAATTGATGAATATTAAATAAAAAAAAAAAATAATAATAAAAAACTCACTTCAGTCCAGAGAAATAATTGGCCAATATAACCAAGTCATCTAATTCGCACCAGAAGTCGGGCATATCAATTTTCTCCAAGTTGATCATTTCGATCAAACCCTCAATAGGAAAGGATACGAAAGGAGTATCGTGGTAGTCCCTCCAAGCAATATCTTTCATGGCCTTGCAATTTTCCAACATGTACTGAAACACCTGCCTTTGTTCTTTGCCCTTTCTCACAATACCAAAGTCAAAGAAGACACTCTTCTCGTTCAGCAGTTGCTGGGCAAAGTAGCCCGCAATCCTCAGATTGTTGGCTTTCAGGTAGCAGATCATTGAATATTGCATCTCTGGCCCTGAAAATTTTTTTCATACAAATTTGAAATTAATTAATTAATTGTACAAATGGCGTGATAACAATTTTAGTCCTCTATAGAAAATAATATGTGATAAAAGGATGAAGTGTGATAAATTTAAATTCATTTAATTTATTTGCCCTGGTTACATTACAGAATTTATTCCAAAATCAGAAGTGGCGAGGGAGAATTTAAAGGAAAATTAAATTCAATTTAATTAAGAAAAATTCAAGAAAGAATTTCGATAAATTACCTATTGTGTAGATGGGAATTTGCTTGGCCAGGGTTTCCTCTTTGTTCATCATGTCAGCCACTTTTCTCATGCACAGGGTGGCGAGTGGCTGAAGGTTCTCTATGGACTTTCGGCAGGTCCACCTTGCAGCATGATTTTCCCACAACCTTTTCTCCTCGAGACTGACTTCAACTTTTCTTCCGGGCTCCCTGTAGAACATGAAACAAAAGTGATACATCAGTCAATGTGGATTTTTTAATTCTGTATTCATGACTGTATCAAATGGAGAATAAATAAATTTGTATAGAAAATTGTAGGCAAAGCAGAGCGGTGTGTTATTAAAAAATTGTTACTCAAAGACTGGCGATAATTTGCCGGAACATGGCTGGTTGTTTCCTGATCCTCGTTGAAAGTTAAAATAATAGTTGTTACGGTTTCGACGTTGAAACAACATGGCCATGATAAAAAGTTTGAGAACTTCTTCGTTCTTATTTTAAATCAGCCCAAAGATAAATGCAACAAAAATAACACTCAAGCAAGAGAATAGAGATGCGATGAAAAAAGAAACGCGGTCTCTGATCGAATTAGCGCACTGCGCTTTACAACTTGGCTGGGAAAATTGCAGGATTGGAAAGAATTCGAGACATGAAATGTTCTCGCAAAATTCAAACATTTGTGGCATTCCTATTGTTATATAATCAACTTTCTCAAACACATACCGACCATTTTTAAGCCGCAAAAATTTTGTTCGCAATCTCACGCGCATGATGCAAAAAAGAAACAAAATTGCTGTCGCGTATTTGAAGTTCAAACTGGAAAACTTACTCGACATCCACAAACTGCTCAGCATCTCGCCCTTTCTCGCCCAACTCAATCGGCGTCCTCTTAAGGACGAAGGAGTTTGGATTGTGCCTATTTATGAATTCCACCACATTCGTCCAACCCTTCATCTGTGACGGCACAAACTCGCCAGTCTCGCTATCAAATTCAGCAAAATCGTCGCAATCAAACTCGTTCATCATTAATTGAGATCGCAGTTCGAGTGATTCAAGAATCAAAACAACAGAAAAGCAGAGCGTCGGCGGTGATGATGCGAAGGAAATTTCGAATTTCCTCCTGACGTGCGGCGTCCGGGCGTGCTGCCTTTTTCTGCAACGATAAATTTCAACCCAAGGTTATCGTGAATCGTGACTCATCACATTTATGTTTTTGTCTCTCTTCTCCTTGCATCACATCGCATTTGACGCATTTTACATGTTTGGACCTGCCAGTTTTCGTTTCGTTTCATTTAATTTCTACTCCTCCTTTTGACTGCTGACTCCGACTCCATCCCACCCTCCCTCCTATTTCTGCTTCCCTCCTTTTAGCGTGTATGCATGCATAATTATATGTGCATAAATTACATTATTACGTATTATTATTACAATTCCGCATAAAAATTCAATGTCCTCTTTGTGATTAGCAATTAATGCTGGCAAAGTGGCAAGTAAATCAGAAAATAAAGTAAAGTTACGTTTTGCTTTATTGAATCTCAAAAGCACTAACAATAAGCAGCGCCATTAATTAAAATTTGATACTTTGATGTTCAGGCATATTTGTATTTTTGCTCAACGAAAAACAAACCTTCTTAAAAAAAAGCCACGGTGAGTTTGAAATTCAACCTATTTCTTATAACAATTATAATTATTTATATAAAAACTTTATTTTTTACGGTTTTATTTATTGCCCTTTTTAATCAAAGAAGAACTCTAGATGAATTAAACGCATAATTTTTATCTGAAGTCTGAAGTTATGTATGTATTGTTAATTTGAAGATTTATTTTTTTGCTTCCCATTAAAAATTATGCAATTATTTAATTAATCAAACTTATCATACGTGGTATTTTTTGATAATGATCAAATTTACGCTGATATTTATTGTATTTATACCAATAAAATTATGACTTAAATTTTGCACAACTTTACTGACTGAGAGCATGACGACAGATAAAATGATCGAAAGATAGATAAATTTATTTTACGCGCGCCTCAAAGCTCCAAATTCAAACTTCAAAGAATTTTTCATTATTATATTATGGCCCCATTAAAAATTCTGTCAATAATGTACCTTGAGCCTTGAGTCACTAATTTTTTTAATCGCACTATATGATGAGAAATGCAGTACTTTTAAAATTTTGCTATAAAAAAAATTATAATTTTTTGTGTAAAAGTGTAACTTTTAATGAAAATAACTAATTGGAATAATTGTAAGAAATCTGCGCGCGCTACTTGGCTCTTGTCCTTTTCGGAACCTCACTTATCCAAATGGCCTTTTTCCAATCAATGTTTCAATTTCTTCGGCTTGCAGCGTGTTTTTCTCAATAAGCTTCTCAGCAATCTAATGAAAAAAATCATAAACAGATAGTGATTATATAAATTAATCATTCAAAATAAGACTGACTTGCTTTTAAGCCATATAAACTGATAATCGTAAATTTAAAAGTCTTATAAATTCTCGACTCATTAAATATTAAAATTTTAATTTATTTAGGCACTTACCAAGGAAATGTCGCTCTTGTGCAGGTAAAGCAGTTCAGTGGTGGTCTCGAGAGCCTTGGACAAGAGTTGGTGCACTTCGGAATCAATCTTTTTGGAAAATTCTTCCGAGAGAGGGTATTTTTCTCGCTCTTGAAAACTCATAGCTCCGATTTTGTCACTCATCCCCAAGCTCATTACCTGCGTGTGGTCGAAACTCGTCAAATAAATAATTGATAATTAAATCCAAAATGAACCATTTCATAGGCGATGTTGGTGGCAACTCGGAGGTCATCTGCGGCACCGGTGGAAATTTTCCCAAAGAACAATTCCTCGGCAACTCGGCCACCAAGCAGGACACACATTCGGTCAAAGATCTGCTCTTTCGTTTGCAGCTTGAGATCTTTCGGAGAGAATTGTGTGAAGCCAAGTGCGTTTCCGCGAGGTGTGATCGTCACCTAAAAGAAAAATCAAATTTTAATAGTTACATAAAAAATAATTATATGAATAAAAATTCATACTTTCAAGAGAGGGTCGCTGTGCTTCAGAAACCAAGCTGTGACAACATGGCCAGCCTCATGATGGGCGACTGCGAACATCTCTTCGGGGGTCAAGTGTGTTTGTCCACCTGAACCTGTCAGCACTCGATCGATGGCCTCGATGAAATTATGCTGCTCCACAGAGCACTGGCCATTCCTCGTTGCAAGAATAGCCGCCTCGTTGCAAACACCAGCAATGGTGGCACCTATATAATAATTTTTTTTAATGGAGCAATCTTTTTAATTACTATTTATTTGTACCTGTGAACCCTGGGGTGATTTTGGCCAGCTCATTAGCCAGCTCGGATTTGCGAAGAGTGCCAAGGACATTGACTGAGCGCAGGTACTTCTCGAACAAAGCAGCTCTGTCTTTCTCATCGGGTGCTGGAACTCTCACCAATCGGTCGAACCTTCCCGCTCTCAACAAAGCGGGGTCCAAAATTTCCAATCGATTTGTAGCAGCCATGACAATGACTTTTTCTAAAGCCTCAAAACCTATAAAAAATTAAAGTGCTTAGTTTTTTCATTATATTTCAATCTAGATAAGAAGAAATGGTTCAGAGTTTTAAACCACTCCTGCGTGAGTATAAAACATTTATTGCGCTGTAGGAAAGTTTTTCCTTTTTTTAATAAAAAATTACAGCTATAGAAGATATGCAAATTTAAAATTTGTAAATTTAAAAGAAATAATTTGCTTAAACCTTTTTCATGTTCATCTTCTCATCTAAATTAATAAACTGCGCTGGTTTAATCTGAACCTTTTCTTTTAAATTTATTTATAAAACTAACCATCCATTTCTACCAGCATTTGGTTCAGCGTACTGTCTTGCTCGCTTCCACCAGAGAGTGCGCTTCGCTTATTCGCAATGCTGTCAATTTCATCAATGAAGATGATGCTCGGAGCGTTTCTTTTGGCCAAATCAAACAGTTGGCGCACCTATATGATTTTTTCCTTGTATATGAGAAAAAGCTTGAAAACATTTATTCAGAGCAAACCCTCCGAGGTCCCACGCCGACAAAGATCTCGTTGAATTCAGGCCCGGACATTGTGATGAACGCAACGTTTGCCTCAGCGGCAGCTGCCTTGGCCAAAGCCGTCTTTCCTGTTCCGGGTGGTCCATGCAAAAGGGCTCCGCGGGGTATTTTTGCGCCCATATCAGTGTAAATTTCTGGATGCTTCAAAAAATTTACAATTTCCATTATCTCCAGTTTTGCTTCATCACATCCAACAATATCACTGTAAAATAATTAATTTTTATATTTCACTTTATTTAATTAGAGGAAAAAGTTACCTAAAATTTATCGAATGACTAGGTTGATTGATTAAGTGGATATTTGTTGAAACTGGCTCATCCGACATGATTGAGAGATTGATGCCAAAAACGGCAGCAATGAGGATCAGTAGAACAACTAAAAACTCTTAAGGATTAATGAATAGAACAAAATTTTACAATTTTAAGTTTCACCAATCCAGCACAAAACTGAGGGAGCAAGGTTTATGATGTCTGTAGCGTAATTGTAAATGTCGATCAGTCGGGTCTCCTTTTTATGTGCAACAGAAATGCTGGACATCAAGTTGCTCCTTCTAATCTCTTTTTGCAGATTTCTCTCAAAGTGCAACAAGTTGCCGATTCGAAACCAACAAGTCTGTGAAAATGAATTTTTTAGGGTGAACAAATATTTTCCTCGGATTTAATTTATAATCAAACTTCGTCATAATCATCAGTAGCGCTTTTCAGGATGACTCGCACCCACTCGTAGTTGAGGACATGAACTTGCGCGACCAAACCTTGCCTCAGGTAGCTTTTCAATAGGAATTAAATTAAATTTTTTAAAATGACGTTTTACAAGAATTTTACTTATAGACGAACTCTTCCCAAGTTATCTCCTTTTCTGTGCGCTTTGAAAGCATCCATGTCAAAGCGAACCCTCCTAGCAGTCCAATCAAAATTGCCCAAAGCATTTTGGACCCGGCTCGACGATTCTCAATTTGTACAGGAACTTTTAAATCTGAGCCTATATACGGAGACTTCAAACTTACTTGTCAGAACTTCAAAATTTTCTGTTAAGAATTATTCCGCATTCAAAATCTCAACAAAGGACGTTTAACCAGCATCTGACAATAATGCTTGTTTTCGCTTTAGCAACAATGCAAAAATCGTTAAAAAAATGCAATAAGTAAAAAAAGCTCTCACCCAACAAGATTATTGGTCATCTCCAAAGGGGACATAAACGCGTTAGAGTGCTGCTGAATCCCCTGAATGCTTCATTGCATTACACCAAACAATTCACATTCAAATAATAAATCATGTGGGAAACTTAAGCACAAATAAAATTTAAATTTCCATCCTCAATAATAATTTTATAATCCTCGCCCTAGAGTTCATGAGAGCCAAAATCTAAAATATTATGTTTAGAGTTGGAACGGGAAAAAAAGGGCTCAGGCATTTTAGTGTGCTGATCAGCAACATAGGTGTAGTTTAAAAATTGTGTTTGACTCGCATCTTCTGTGTTGCTTAAAATAAGTCAATGTAGAAACTGAACTGGCGGTTATGTAATAAATGAAGAAATTAAAAAAAAAACACGATTAAAAATAATGATTTGTTTTAAAATAAAGATATATCATCTGTCGAAAAAAGTGCCATTTTTATTTCAAAGAGTAGCCCTGATTCAAATATTGAAGAAAAAAAGTGGCAAAAATTAATTATTTCACAGTGTATTCTCCGTTGTTGAATTTACGTAGAATACAATCAATTTCAAAACAATTTAAAAATGCAGGTTTATTTCAGAAACGTTTCAATTATTGAGCATGAACCCTGATTAAACGACGTACTGTTTATTTATATATCTTTTCCAAGTTAATAAATGACAAGGGGTGTTAACCTGAACGTGCTTAATTGTGGGTCTCTGGCCACCTCGGGTGCGCCTCCAGGGGTCTCGGGGGCTGCCGGCGGCACGAGGGGTTGGTCACCACGTACCGCCTCCGACAAGCAGACGGACACGGAGGAGCGCAAGCGTCGCGGCCCCGCACTGCCGAAAATCTTGGCGCGGCGCCGACGGCGATGGCGTCGCGTGCGGCGTTCGACCACCTCGTCAGGGTTGTGGCCGGTTCGTCGACCTCGAGCTCAAATGAGTCCTCGTCCTTCCCCATGAGGCGACATAGCGGCGCCCTGGTGCGTCGCGGCGACGCCACCCCGCCGCTGCCTATCGGGAGATCCAGTTTTAGCGCCTCACAAAATTTTTTAATTTTCAGTAAAATTTCATAAGCTTGATCAAGAATTCTAAAGTTAAAAAACAATTTAAAAAAATTTAAATTAATTAAATTCAGTGGGATTATATGTCTCCAAATACTATTAGAAAAGTTAAAAAATACTTTGGCGTTCCGGCGCCATTGTACTTCCTGTTATTGTAAAAATTAGTAAATGAAATTTACATAATTTCAAAAAATTTGATGTATTCAAAATTTTATTCAATTGATAAATTATGGGATTTGACATCAAAAATTATATTATTGTTTTTTTAATCATACCGTCATAATTTTACAATATTGATTTTAAGAATTCTCAAATTTAAAATATTCAAAAAGAAAAATTAAAGTTAATTAAAATCGATGGATGAATATGTAAATCAATTACTTTAAAAAAGACGCTTTCAGTCTCAAAACAAGCAATAGAAAATATACATAAAATTAAAGTAAATTAAGTAAAGCTCATTATTGCTCATTATGCGTTATTTTAACTGGAACGCCTTCTAATTCTAATTTATAAATTTCAAAAAGATAAAAAGAAAATAAATCTCACCACCTCGATGGCGGCGGGTACTGGCGGTGCTCGTGGAGCTGGTTCAGCTGGTAGGTTTTAGCTCTGCTTGGCCATCTTTTGGCCATGCTGCTCAAGGTGGGCTGCATAGTCAGGCCGGGCAGCAGGTTTGCAGGTTTGAACACGAAGCTGCACATTTCACTTGGCGCTTGGCGCAAAATGCAAATGCAATATGAGGATTGAGGATTCCCACATTCTTCTCCCTGCCTCCTCTAGGGAGTAGAAAATAAGAATAGCACCAACTGTTGAGAGTTCAATGTTTTGTCGATACAACCAAACCAAAATCTTATAATGAATAGAAAGGCAAGAATTGTTTTAGGAATAAAAAATAAAAAGAATTTTATATTTTTTTCATCTAACAATGACCAATTGAATTAGCGAAAGCAGCAAAAATCATCGAAGGATCGAAGTTTCAAAGAATTGGTACACATCAAGAATTCTCAACGGCTGGCTAAACTGCACCAGCCGTTAAAATTTGAGTAATTGCGCGAACTTGTTGAACTTGTTCTGTTCATTTCGTCCATCGTCGAGTCGAACAACAACAAGATCATTAACATTATATTGGCGATTGCTTGCACGTCTGCACGAGTCCCGTTTTCTCGCTTCTTCAAACCTTCAGTAATCGTTTAACGAAAAGTGCTAACAAGAACTACAGAAGCTACGCCGCAGACTGGCCGCATTAGTGGTTTGTACTTTTTTTGATAACTTGTTTTTATAAATTCTCTTTGCTATAAATTCAAATTTTCGGTTGTGATTAAATCGTGCGAATTCTGGAAGTCCTGGTGTCACCGCTTTCATATAAATTTTGATCTGGATTTAAACTTTCATCAGTTTCATCATAGGCAATCAGAATAAACGGAAATTTCATTATTCTGATAACCCCACATTTACAAATTTGAGCGATTATAGAAATTCTCGCATGAATTAAAATTTTCGGTTTTGTTGTAAATAAATCGTGCGAATTCTGGAAGCCCCGGTTTCCGAGGCTGGTTTTTAAATTCTTGACCTTTCATTTAATTTATCCGAAATCATCACAATTCTGATTTTCATTTAAATAATCCGAAATTAACACACAATTGTGATACAACCCCCACACAAAAATTATAAAACTCCTGTCTTGTTAAGAATTCACATTTTTCAGTTTAAAAAATCGTGCGAATTTCAGAATCTCAATTCAATTTGATTAATGCAATTGCAAATTCTTGATTTAAACTTTCATTCAAATTATCGAAATTTGAGAAACCTCAATTTTTTTACAACCAAAATTTTGAATTTCATCATTCATGGCGAGAATTTCCAATCAAGTTCATAATTTTTGTGTGGGGGTATCAGAATTTAGTAAAAGTTCTAAAGCTGTGTAATTAACGCGACTCTCCCTTAATTTTTTTTCTATTTGTAATTTTTGGACAAAAAAAATGCACTATATAGCACTTATTATTTTGCATTGATGACAGCATTTTTTCCATTTTACTTATTGAACACATTATATTATGATTTTCTTCAATTTAAAAAATTAACCACCATTTGCGAAATCGAATAACATTGGTTCTTATGGCAGCCTTATCTTAGAATGATTGAATCTTTTCAATCCTAAGATATGTCGTAGTAGATGCAAAATAAAGAATATTGGCGTTGGAAAAATCGAAATTGTTTCAGCGTGGGGCTGTAGTCAGGCGATCAAAGATTTGTAAAAGCTCAAAAAATTGGCTTCGGTTGCCTACTTTACAAATCTTTGATCGCCTGACTACAGCCCCACGCTGAACCAATTTTGATTTTTCCAACGCCAATATTTTTTATTTTGCATCTACTACGACATATCTTAGGATTGAAAAGATTCAATCATTCTAAGATGAAGCTGTCATAAGAACCAATGTTATTTGATTTCGCAAATGGTGAAATCTTTTGGTATTTAATAATTAATTATTTATTAAATATATTGTTGCATAATTTTAAATTTATGTGTGTGTGTGCGAATATACAAAAATGAAAATCTGTAATCTGGACTTTTTCTTTTTAGCACATGTGGTGTGTTATAATATCCTACCAAAATGGAAACTGCAGCTCAAGAGGGACAGCAGTGCACTCAAATTTGGTGGCCCCGATTTGTCGCCCAAAAAGAACGAGTTGCTGAGCTGCAAAACGCCCCAGAAGCAGAGGGACCCGTGTCGGTCGGCGTTTTGCAAACTGTTCTCAGGGATGCATCCACACTTTCCTACTTCATCTTGCGAAACGGTGATTCAGTGAAAGGAGGAGAAAGTAGTTTTTTTTGTTTGTTTCTCAAATTTTGATTTAAAAAAATTATTTTAACACAGGTCCCCTTGTGCTGGCTGGTAAAGCATTCAAAATGCTTATGCGCCAAAAGCCATATACCCTAATTGAAGATGAGGAGACCCCTAACATACCTCCAGAGCTGGTGACCACTGGCTTGACCCCTCGGCAAGCCCTCCTTGCCAAGGATAGCCCCAAAGAGCTCTCTGGCAACATCCTTTTTGCCTTGGCCAGGATGAATAGCTTTCGCCCCCCCCCCCCCCCCAGCTGGCATGATTCATTGTCAGAGTGAGCATTTACTGTGTATTCAAAACATCCAATTATAATTAATAAATTTTTTCTGCTCGTATGTACTGTGGGTTGCTAAATTTATATCAATACCTCAAATTTTTACATATTGTCTTGATTTCTTAATTTATTTAACTTCAATTTCCCGGTCCCGTCCCCGCTGCTCTTAAAGAAACAATTAACATTTTGACCAAGCAATTCATAATTTATTGGTGATTTACAATTAATGCACAATTTCATAGCCCTCCCATCACATAATTGGCCTTGGTGCGGTTTACATTAGTGAAATGAGGTACAATACTAAAATTATCGCACCAAGCCCAACATCGATGCGAATGAGATTTAGTAGAATCTATAAATCAGTCTGTAAGTTCACCACAGATGGATAATTCTTATGACTTTTTGCTCTTCGGCGGCTTCTTAGCTTTTGAATCTTCAGCAGGTTGCTGCTCCTTTGGACTCTTTTCTTCTTCCTTGTTCTTGTTCCAGTCCTTGAGTCCTTCGGGCAGTGTGGTGTCTTCCTCAAATGAGCCGGTGCCCTCAACGAATTCCTCATAAGTTGACTTTTCGGGGAATGGTCTAGGACCGAGTAATTCGATCATGTCATCCCTTCCTAAGATTTCTTGTTTCAGAAGGCGTTCTGCAACCTGGAAGTAAAACATTTGTGAAAATTTGATTTTTTTTTCTCAAATAAGGATGAAATATTGAAATGTATAAGTAAAGCTCATGTTTTCATATTTGATACAAATGGTTCGATAAAAATCTCAACCGAGTCATGAAAAATAAAAAAATCTTGGCAAACCTTTGCTACATTCTCCTTATGCTTCAATAGAAGATCCATTGTGCTCATATGAGCCTTGCTAATGAGACTTCTCACTTCAGAGTCAATCATCTGAGCAGTTTCCTCCGAGTATGGCTTTTCCATGACCATTTCGCCTGGCTGAGGCATGTCAAAGCTGACATTGCCCACCTTCGAGTTCATGCCGTAATGGACAACCTAATTAATCAAAACCATTTAATCTGAAAAATTTCATCAGCTCAAAGGCTTACTTGTGCATAAGCACTTTGTGTTACTTTGCGAAGATCGTCCTGAGCTCCAGTGGTGATTCTGCTGAAGAAAATTTCTTCCGACACTCTGCCTCCCAAGGTCATGCACATTCTGTCAAACAGCTGCTCTGTTGTGTAGAGGTACTGCTCCCTCGGTAAGTACTGCGCGTAGCCAAGACCTTTTCCACGAGGAATAATTGAAACCTAAAAAAATAATAATACTAACTATGAAAGAACTTCAAACAAGGCCAAAAAGACTTGCCTTCAGCAGAGGATCAGCATGCTGGAGGAACCATCCTGCCACAGCATGACCAGCTTCATGGTATGCAACAGTTTTCTTCTCCTCTGGCTGCAGCACATTAGTTTTCTTCTCCATGCCAGCAACCACTCTTTCGATTGCAGCCTCGAAGTCTTTCATTACAATCGCCTCTTTCAAATCTCTGGCAGCTATCAAAGCCGCTTCGTTGCAAACATTTGCAATGTCAGCTCCTAAAAATTAAGGGTTTTAGCACAAACTAGTTTTTAGCAAATCTGAGAGTACCTGTGAAGCCTGGGGTGAGAGCAGCCATTTTACGTGCAAGGTCGTTCTTGTCGAGGTTCGTCTTCAAATTTCCCAAGTGAACTTTGAAAATAGAAGCTCTGCCCTTGATGTCCGGAGCAGGGACAAAGATCTGACGATCAAAACGTCCAGGTCGAAGAAGAGCTTTGTCCAAAATATCCACTCTGTTTGTGGCAGCCAAAACAACAACATTTGTAGTTGTGTTAAATCCTAAAATATCCAGTTAAAATTTCAAGTTCTCCAGAGACTTTATTTAATTTACCATCCATCTCTACTAGAAGTTGGTTCAAGGTGTTTTCCTGTTCTGAATGGCCACCGAAACTTCTGCCTCCTCTTTTGCGGCCGACAGCATCGATCTCATCGATGAATAAAATGCAAGGTGCATGTTTCCTGGCCATAGCAAACATATCTCGAACCTGTTCCACAGTTTTTTACTAATTTAAAAAAAGATTTGAAAAATAAAAACTTACACGTGATGGACCGACGCCGACAAACATCTCCAGGAACTCCGAACCGGACACAGTGATGAAAGGCACATTGGCCTCTCCAGCAGTTGCTTTGGCCAAGAGTGTTTTGCCCGTTCCCGGAGGGCCGGTCAACATTGCACCTTTCGGGATCTTGGCACCCAAATCCATGTATTGTTGGGGATTCTTTAAGAAGTTGACAAACTCCATGATTTCCAGTTTTGCTTCCTCACACCCCGCTACGTCCCTAAAGATTCGTTTAGCTGTGTCCGAAGAGGTAAAAAGTTCAAATTGATTTACTTGAATCTGACGGGAATATCAGAAGGATTGATGAGTTTAGCAGTGGATTCCATGACACCTCCAAACAAGCCGCCACCTTTGCGGCCTCTGCCTCCCATCATTTCTGCAGACCTTCTCATCATGTAGAATAGAAATCCTATAAAACAGAACTTACTTTTAGCCTGATTATGTAATTCACAAGCAAACCTATAATGAGAAGAGTTGGGAGAATTCCTGTAACGCTTGCGGCTTCTAGTTCAGACTTGTAGACCACAGGGATGAAATTCGGAGGCTCTACGTTCATGTCGATTTGTGCATTTTCCAAGTTTCTTTCGAAAGAATCAACACTTCCAATGTTGAACCACAAGACTCCTTGCTGCCAATTTATTTTTAACAAATGAAAATCTAATATACTAGCTAAAGATTTTACACTTACACTGCCATCGTAAGTGGTTCCTGGCAGGAGCTTCACCCTAACCCACTTTTTGTTGACAACCTCCAGCTTCTCAACTATGCCTTTCCCCAAAAAACTGCAACATGTATAATATTACAACCAAAATTAAGAGTATGCATTCAAGTTAAATTACTTGTTAACAAAATCCTTCCAAGTGATCTCCTTATAACCCATTTCGAAGAAGGCTATTGCTCCGATGGCTGCCATTGTAACAAAGACGGCTAACATGAACCACTGGTCTCTCTCTTTATTAGGTCCTCCACCACCACTCCCTCCGAACGACCCAAAAGACCACTGGTCAAATGGTCTGCCAGGACCAGGGGGTGGTTTCGACAAGGGAGGAGGCATGGCCCCTCTACTAGGTGGTGGTGCTTCTTTTGGCGCATCTTTGGGCTGTTCCTTAGATTCAGATTGCTTGCTCTCTGATGGAGGTTTGCTGCCTGCTGGCCGGAAGAACTTTTCAAAGCCTTTCGGTGGCTTCTGGCAGAAACGACGGAAGAGCGATTCAAAATCGACATTGCTTTTCTGGAGTTGAGAAATACCTTTCCTGATCTGAAACTGTATAAATTTATAATCATTAAATAAAATGACGTGGATAAAAATTAAAAATGTAATTTATTTTTTATTTTTAATTCGATTCTGGAAATTTTAAATTCAGTAAAAAATGAATGGTAATAATTATTTTAAAATTATGATGTAACAGGGAAAGTTTATGGGCAAAAGGTATGGAATGGGCATTATGTAACTTACGACTGTGTTCCGATCAATGTGTCCTCTGCGATTCGCGTGAAATAAAAAAAGCTCCACTCTCCTCGTAGTTGAATTTGACATCAATCTGTACGCCATGGTGACGAAGTTTCTCAGATTTTAACAATAAAATTTAAATAGCATCAGCGGCTCAAGATTGCAGACCTCAATTCATGTTTTTACCACGCCCCCTTTGAACACTTCGGTGCGCTTCGGTGCTTGCTTCGGTGCAACGAAGGGCAGCCAACATTGACAATATTCATAATGGTTTTAAATTGGTCTAAATTAAAAAAAAGAATGCGTTTTTGTGAGCACAGTTAACAAAATTTAACTTTCTTTTTCAATTTTTTTTTTAAAGATTTTGAAAAATTAAAATATTTTAATGTGTTTTGTGACACCTTTAATTTTGGAAATTTCATCAATATGTTGGTGCTCTTAACTCCATTCGTCTTTTCCAGTCGATCCGCGGCAAAAGAGCAAGTTGAAGCAAAAATTATCTCATTTTTTAATAAAATAAAAATTATTAAACTTCATTATTAAAATCGATGAAAGTGATTTTGCTAATTCTTTTAAATTTAAGAGAGTACATTAGACAAGAGATAATAAAATTAACTCTCTTGCAATAAAAAACTAAAAAAAAACTGCTTGGATCAGGATCAGTAGAGAGTTAATTAATTTTGTGTTAATCACCGCGGCCCCCATTTATTTTAATGTGAAACTTCTAGTTTTACAAGAATTATGAATTTCAACGCAAATTAAGCAAAACAATTAAACTTTTGTGTCGGTTTGAATATTTCTCTCTTTCTATATTTATCTCACTGTTCATTATCTTTCTATTATTATTGTAGAACAAATAGTCCCAAAAAAGTAAATCGATCTCTATTTAAGATATGTTTAAGTGACTTCCATTACACTTCATAATTCATTATACGGTCGTGCTGTACTGTACAGCTCTTCCAACATAAAATATTGATAAAATAGTAAATAGTGTAACCAGCAGTAAATATAATAAGATAAGTTAATTTTAAGAATAACATGGTTTTCGAAGTAGCAAAATATATTATCACAAGACCTAAATCAGACATATAAAGGTTTAGTAAAGTAGCTCCCGGTAGTTCCTATCTCCTTTATAATAAAATACAATATACGGATGAAACTTTAAAAAGACAAATTTGATTAAAGTTTAGATCAACACGGATTTATTTATGGGGTACAAATTGAAAAGCATGAGTCATAAGCCTTTTATGAAACGGTTCCCTTGAGTTTAGTTATTCTTGCAAAAAATTAATTTGTAGAAATTTTGAACTGTTGAAAAATGTTTTAGACAATATAGAGAGATACTGGACATAAGATCTGGTAATAACTTTTTAACACGCGCAAACCCCTTGACCTCATGTATTGTTTCACGTTGTTTTCGCTCTGATGGCAGCTCGTTTTCCTGTGACGGCCTGCAAAAATGTTTTATTGGAATCAAAATGAAACAACCTAGAAAAATTGATTGTACCTGGAAACCAGATTTGATGCTGGCCACGGAGCACCTAGAGCCACAGTCTTCACACTGGAGGAAGAAGATACGGGTGTCCTTCTGGAGGATGGTGTTGGGCGAGCGGCAGGTGTGGCAAGTCACATACTCCTTGATGTAACGACGTAACACAATTTCAATCTGCTTCTGCTGGAATCGACCTTTGATGATGAGCTGACTGTTACCGTCAACTGACCCGCTGGTGCCCAACTCGGCCAGCAAGAAGTCAAGCAAGTGTTTCGGCTGCCGATGCAAGCTGCAGGATTGAATTTTTCAAATTTATAATAGGATTATAATTGCTCACGGATGAGACTAATGCAGCAATCAAGTGGTTCAGTAGCGAGTATGGCTTTAGTTCTGATATAAATTTTTGCTCCTATTATAATTATATCTTTTTAATAATCAACTGGATTTATCAGTGGCAAAACTTGACCTTTGTGGGCCCGTGGACGCCCCTGTAAAGTAGGTAACGCCTTGACACTTATGTTTTACCGGTTGTCTAAATAAGGCATGAATGGGCCCCTTTTGGGCAGTAGGCCTGTGGAAACGTCCACATTTCCACATTGGAGTTTTGCCACCGATTTTTATGATCCATTATTTCTTTATAAATTCATTTTAACATAACGTGCTATTAAATAGCTTATTAAGATTTAACTTACATTTTACACACTTCAGTGAAGTTAGCAAATGAGGTCTTTTTGGTGCCGATTCGCACCACATGTGGAGGACGCATGACAAACTTCTGCTTTTTGCCAAGGGCCATATCAGGATTCTTTTCGTGCATAATGCAGAATACTCGGGTGAGCAATTCGTCATAAGTGTAATCTCGATCAACACCAAACCATGTGGAGTTGTTGCTCGACTCTGTGAATTTTTTATTAACGTTTTAACAAAACCGGTAACTTAGAAAAATAATTTCTGAAGAAATATAAAAATTGCAAAGAATATTATATAATTTAAAAAAAAGAAAAGAATTAAATTTTTTTTCATGACTCGAGTCAATCAAATAATAATAATAAGCAAATTTCAGGGATTTTTACAGCCTTACCGCACTCGACAGGTATCTCCTCAATAGTGCAGCATGTATTTTAAAATACTTTGTTAGCTTTGATTGCTCTTAGGAGCTAAGAAAGTTGGGCAACATTAATGCATTTTTGATATTTTTTACCATTTTCATTATCATCAGCCTTATCAGCCTTCCCTCCTTCCAAATCTTCATCGATGTCCTTCTTCTTCTTTTTTTTCTTCTTTGTTAAAGAAAAGTCCATATCAAGGCTAAAGTCATCCTAAAAATTTGTAAAAAATCCACAGGTAAAAACCAATCGATCGTTCCCAAAGGCAACCCACATCGGCGGGAGCTTCTTCAGCAGGCCCAGAACTTTCAATGGCTCCCTCCTTATTAGTCTCCATTTCAGGAAGGGCGGCGTCCAGCTTATTCATGTCGAAAATCTTCTTTTTCCGCTTTTTCTTGCCAGCCAGCTCAAGGTCCAGGGCATCTATAAACAGAGAAGGATGTTGATATTAAATTATTGTTTGATAGGTCAAAAGCTTGAAAGCTTCTGGAAAACGTGCCATCATCAGCCTTGGGTTCCGGTTCCTTATTTTCCTTATCAGCTTTGACGGGGGTGTCCGAGGGCGACTCTGAAGGACCAGAGCCTTCCGCACCTGCTTCCAAAGAGTCCAATTCAAAGGGGATCTTCTTCTTCTTTTTCTTCTTTTTGGAAGCCAACTCGCTGAGAATCTGCAATGCAAAGGACGAATGAGACGTGTTTTTAAACCAATTTGGGTCAACTTACAGGGTCTTCTTCAGACATTTTCAAAGATTCTAGTGCTAACCACTTGCACGAATATACGGAATGGTCTCAGAGGGCTAAATTACGCTGATTTTATATCCCAAAGTGAACTCATATGTTCAAAACAGACTTTTTGGCCTCCGTATTCAGTGTTACATCAGCTTTTTGGTGCAAGCATGGCGCACAGGCACAGGCGCAAAAGGCATGGCATGTGGTTGCAAACATTTTGGGCGATACAATCAAATCGCAAAACGGAAGTTAAAAAAACTCCTTTGTTTGCTTTTGCTTTTTAAAAAATGTGGAGTTCAAACAACCCCGTTTAAAAAAAAAATGCTTTTATTCGTGCTCTCATTAATTACTGCTAATTGATTAGTAAAATAACAAAACTAATCTGTGTTTTTCATTTTTCATTCATCGTCACAAAATCGATTAACCACAACGAAATGTCAAAACTAGCCGACCAATGAAAATGCAGACGCGGCATTTTATGTTGATCGATGATTGATGATTCCGAATTCAGATGGTTGTTTTGGTGTTTTGGCTCTCGGTGTTCGGTGCTTGTTGTTTATTAATTATATTTTTGCGGTGTGCAGACCAAAACCCTGTTTAAACCAAGGTCGAGGCTAAGTTTTGAAAATTTAGCCTTTTAAAATTTGAGTTACATAATCAGCTTAATTAAAACAAGGTATGGTAAAAACGAATTTTGCAGAGATTATAATTTGAAAAAAAATTGTCTTCTTCTAATCTGTGAATCTACATTAATATACGTATTATAAAATATAAATAAATATAATTTCTAATTATATAATTTATGTTTGAAGATTTTTTGATTCCTGATCCATCTAATCTTATTTTGGTTAGGTCACCAGTCACCATGCAACGAGGACGGGGCTTTGGCTTTCAAATTGGACGCAAGCCGACCACCAATTTGCAGGCAGTTCCTCCACCTCCTTCGCTAGGGGTGAGTAAGCAGGGCTACAGCACCATGGACGCAATCAGTCAAAACGCCCTCACCATTGGCGGCTACGGAGGACAGGCTAGAAAAAGAGCACGGGCAGACGAGGATGAGTGAGAAATTTGTTCTAGTTAAAATTCAATACATATTAATATAAATCTCCACTGATTTATTCAGCTACTTTGATGATGACGATGAGAAGGGCCAGGGTCAGCTTGAATATATTCCTGCTCCAGGAAGCCCTTCATACAAAAAGCAGGAAGAACGCAAAGAGGACTCGGATTCGGAGGAGGATCCGTTAGACGCATTTATGGCTGGAATTGAAAAGGAAGTGAAGAAAGATACAGTAAAGGTTGAGAGCAAGAAAGAACCTGAGAAGAAGGGCGTCCGGACAGACATTGACAATGAAGACAATGAGGAATCTTACTACAGGTTATTGTCAAAAATAATGATTGTATCAAAATTTTAACTTAACTCATTTATATTAGGTACATGGAGGAGAATCCCAATGCTGGACTCCAGCACGAAGATTCCGATGCCGAGGTGGAATACGATGAAGATGGCAATCCCATTGCACCTCCGAAATCTAAAGTATTATTTAACTTATTATTACTTTCGATTGGTTATTTTGAAAATATTAAATCATTTGTAGATAATTGATCCGTTGCCCCCAATGGACCACTCCACAGTTACCTATGAGAACTTTGAGAAGAATTTCTACATAGAGCATGAGGATATTCATGGCATGAGTAGAAGCACAGCTATAGACTTGAGATCCAAGCTGGGACTTAAGGTCACCGGACCTTCTCCTCCAAAGCCGGTGACAAGCTTTGGTCACTTCAACCTGGACGAAGGCTTAATGAAAGTCATTAGGAAATCGGAGTACACTCAGCCAACCCCTATACAAAGTCAAGCAGTGCCTACTGCTCTCTCAGGAAGAGATATCATTGGTAGAGTGTTTAAAAATCTTCTCTGTCACTTCATGATCTGATTGTTTTCGTCAGGTATCGCAAAGACTGGTAGTGGTAAAACTGCTGCTTTTGTTATCCCCATGATTGCTCACATTATGGACCAAAGGCCATTGAAGAAAGGCGAAGGACCAATAGCACTTATTTTGGCTCCAACAAGAGAATTGTCACAACAGGTATGACTTATTTTTATAATTTTAAACTAATGTTTAATTTAATTGGTTTGCCCCAGATTTACCAAGAGGCGAAAAAATTCGGAAAAGCGTACAACCTCCAAGTTGTTTGCTGCTACGGAGGAGGATCAAAATGGGAGCAGAGCCAAGCTCTGGAGGGGGGCGCTGAAATAATTGTTGCTACGCCAGGTATGCTGGTGAAATTTTAATTTGTATTTCATTAATTTTTCACTTGTAGGACGAATGATTGACATGGTCAAAATGAAAGCAACAAATCTCCAACGTGTCACATACTTAGTATTGGACGAGGCTGACAGAATGTTTGACATGGGTTTTGGTAATCATTTTATTTTTTATTTTGGCAGAACAAGTTAAGTAAAAATTGATTTTACATCTCAGAGCCACAAGTACGATCCATTTGCAATCACGTTAGACCTGACAGACAAACACAGCTCTACAGTGCCACATTCAAGAAAAGGGTAGAGAAACTGGCAAGAGACATATTGACTGACCCTGTGCGCATCGTGCAAGGTGATGTTGGAGAGGCAAATCAAGACGTGACTCAAATCGTCAAGTTATTCAATACTCCACAAGCAAAATGGACCTGGCTTCTGGGCAACCTTGTAGAATTCCAATCAGCAGGCAGCGTTCTAATTTTTGTGACAAAAAAGGTGATTTTATTATTATTATTATTTTGTTTTTAAAGAGCACTTGTCGGACATGAGACCCACTGATACCAATGACCTCGTCCGGTCTCGAGCACGGTCTTTATGGGCCTCACGTCTGACAAGGGAGGTGAACTTATTAACAATTTGGTTTTTTCAATCTAGGCCAACGCAGAAGAGGTTGCAAATAATCTGAGGCTGAAAGAAAATGAATGTCTTTTGTTGCACGGAGACATGGATCAGGCCGAAAGAAATAAAGTCATCACGGCTTTTAAACGGAAAGAGGTCAACATTCTTGTTGCTACAGATGTTGCAGGTAATTTAAACTCAGACATATATGAATAAACATATATGTTTTTTCATATTTCATTTCTTTACGTTAATTTTTAAATACAGCTCGTGGTCTGGACATTCCTCATATTAGGACAGTTGTCAACTATGACATCGCACGAGACATCGATACTCACACACACAGAATTGGACGAACAGGTCGAGCTGGTGAAAAAGGCACAGCTTACACCTTTGTCACTGACAAAGATAAGGAATTTGTCGGGCATCTTGTCAGAAACCTGGAAGGCGCCAATCAGGAGGTTCCTGATGATCTGATGGAACTTGCCATGCAAAGTTCCTGGTTCAGGAACTCTCGCTTTAAAGGAGGAAAGGGCAAGAATGCAAATGTTGGAGGCCGAGGACTTGGTTTTAAGGAGAGATCAACAGGGGGCGGTGGTGGGGGAGGCGGAGGCGGCTACTCTGCACAGCCAAAAGTGTGTGAATCTGTATTATATTTTTTTATAAAAGGTCACTAATTTGTGTATACTTTACTAGGAAAGTGTGAGTGAAAAAATCGCAAAATCTGCAGGGCCTGGGACAGATAGGCTTTCATCAATGCGTAATGCATTTAAGCAGCAATACCAGAGCCAGGTAAAAATTAATTTTTCATCTAATGATTTAAAAATATTTTATGAGATTTTCTTAATTACCATGTTTTATTTCAAGAGCTAAATATTTCTCTATTTAGTTTAAGGCATCCAATGATCAAAGCTGGAAACAACATCTGCCAACAAACGAACCCTCATCGTCATCAGGCAGCAGTTCCAGCTCTGGTGAAAAGAAAAAGAGAAGCCGATGGGAGTAGGATGTCTGTTAAGTGGTTGTCCTTATGTAAATTGTAATTAGTATTGTTAAAATAAAACAGTAACGTAAATAAAAGGAACAAAAATTTAAATTATAGCAAAGCATTTGTGAAGGGTCATTGAACCATCATGCTAATTCTAGTCTTACGGAAACTTCCTTTTTTGATACAGCGCTTATCTGCAATGAACACCCACTACCACATCTCTTCCTTTGTTAGCATCACTTTGCAAACACAATCAGTGCAGTGCAGCTGCGTAGTTACAAATAATGCAGTAGAGAATTTCTATTGTTGGATTTAAATCTAAGCACATTGTTAGTGAAAAATGCGTAATCTCTTGATTTATCTTGGATTTCTGAGCTTACAAGTTATATCTGGCCACTTCATACCTCACATACCTATGGCTGATGGTAGGTTGATTTATTTAATATTAATAATGATTAAGAGTTGGGCAATCATTGAAATATTTTTTAGACGAAGCGATGCCATGGTACATAGTGAAAGAAGACACCAGTGTTTGCCAAACCACTGGTTGCGTGGAGGCAGCGGAAGCCTTGAAGGTCTCGATTGATTCAGCAGCAGATCCGTGCAATGATTTTTATGCTTATGCCTGTGGCGGGTGGCAAAAGCGCAACCCTATCCCAAAGACTGAGAGCCAGTGGAACCAATTCAATATTGTGGACAGAAAACTTGACTTGCAGCTGAAAGGTTTATAAATCAATAATGGAATCAACGAAATTCTTATTTTTTTAATTTTTTTTTCCAGATATTTTTGAAGACGACTTGCACTTGGAGCAAGAGCCTGAGCCTGTAGCACTGGTCAAGCAATTTTTCCAAGCTTGCATGGATATCGGTAGTAAATTGTATTAATTAAAAGAAATTTAAATACCTAAAAAGCAATTCAGAAAGACGAGAGCAGTATGGTGTGAGACCATTGTCGGAGATACTTTCGACGCTTGGTGGTTGGCCAATTGCAACGACTGAAGGACAGTGGTCAGAAGACAAGTTTGATTTGCTGAAAACGTTGGGTTTTGTCACTCGACGGCTTGGCCTCACACCTTTGGCGACTGTATTTGTCTACACAGACCGGAAAAACTCAAGTCGAAGCGTGGTTACTGTGGACCAAGGTAGCTTGGTGCTGCCAAGAGCTATGCTGGCTCAACCTAGCATGTACAAAAAGCAGCTTACTGCCTACGCTGAGTGGATGGTTGGAACGGCTAAATTGTTGGGAGCTCGAGTAGATGAGGATGAAATGATGGAGGAGGCAAAGAAAATTGTTCACTTTGAGAGTCGCTTGGCTGAGGTAGTTGATTTAAAAATCTGAAAGTTTTATATTTTAATGGTTTATGATGAAAAGCTGACAGCGCCAAGTGAAGACAGAAGAGATGCGTATCGGATGTACAATTCTTTATCAGTTCGACAATTACAAAAGTGGACGGACACCATCCAGACTCATGGGAAAAAATCAATTTTGCAATGGGACCGGCTGCTGAGCCTGGTTTTTCAAGACACGGAGGCAAATATATCCTCTGGAGAGCGAATGCTAGTCCGAGAAATGGAATACTTACTCAAGTTAGAGGCGCTCTTGCAAAATACTTCCCGTAGAACATTAGGTAAATTTTTATGAGAAGAAGGAAATTTAATTATGTAAACTGTTAATAAATACAGCAAATTACATACTATGGCGTGTGGTGAAAAGCGTTGGACGAGATACAAGTGCACCGATGAGGCACCTTTCATTCTCGTTCGATAAAGTGTTTAGCGGTATTGTGGAGGACCAACCTTTATGGATTGAGTGCGTAACCAGATCAACTTCAGCTCTTCCGTTTGCTGCTGGGTATCAATTTGTGAGAAAGTTCTTTGATTCCGAAGCAAAGATCACAGTACGAAATTGTTTATTATATACGTCTTCAGTGATGAATCAAACTTATTTAAACTCAGGCTTTGGAAATGGTTCACCATATTCGCCAGTCCTTTATAGACAGGGTCGACACTCTAGAATGGATGGATGATGAAACAAAATTGGCCGCCAGAGAAAAAGCAGAGGCCATGGCCGAGTTTATAGGGTTCCCTGACTGGTTTTCCAACGCCACTGCCCTGAAGCATTATTATGAAGGAGTGAGTGATTTTTTGACATAACTTGTGAATAAAAAATTAAATTGTGGCTACATTTTTTTAGGCAATTGTTGGAAAAGACCATTTTGAAAACGTCATGGCCCTAACATCTGTTCAAGTGAAGCGCGTATTTGACAAGTTGAGAGAAGCGACTGACCGAAATGAGTATACTGCAATTAATATTTTATAAAAAATCATTACCTAAAATTATTTTTCTAAAAAAGCTGGCTCACAGGCCCTGCAGTTGTCAACGCGTACTACAATCCTCTTACAAATGCAATAAGTGAGATTATATTTTTAATATTCTTTAATTGAATTAATTTCAATTATCTTCGCAGCTTTTCCGGCTGGAATTTTGCAGGCGCCTTTCTTTGGAAAAGACACCTTAGAGTATGTTGATCTATGTAAATTATTTAAATTTGAATTGTTATAAAAAATTGCTCCAGAGCACTGAACTACGGCAGCATTGGTGTTATAATTGGTCACGAAATCACTCACGGATTTGATGATATGGGTAATTTATTCGTCTTTAATTTGGTGTTTTGTAATGATTGTAAAAATCAGGCAGGCAGAATGACAAAGATGGTAATCTAGTGCAATGGTGGACTCCTGAGACGGAGTACGCTTACTTGGAAAAGGCTCTGTGCATCGTCGAGCAATATGATCATTTCCGAGTGCCGGAACTAGATGTTCTGTTGGCTACGAAAGCAACAGTGAGATTATTATATTAACTAAATTAACTTGCATGAAAATTTTTATTAATTTATTAAAAAAGATTAATGGTGTGACCACGCAAGGAGAAAATATTGCTGACAATGGTGGTATGGAGCAGGCCTTCCAGGCCTATCAGCAATTTGTGAAAGAGAACGGTCCAGAGCAGAAACTCCCAGGACTTGACTACACTCCTGAACAAATTTTTTTCCTAGGATTTGCCTCTGTAAGTTAATGATTTATCAAGGTTTTTGGAAACTTACATATTTATTTGCATGAAAGGTTTGGTGTGAGTCGTCCAGCCCGGAGTCGTTGCTCCATGAGGTCCTTTCAAATCCACATGCGCCGCACCGACACAGGGTCAATGGACCCCTTGCAAATTCACACCATTTTGCTAAGACGTGGCAATGCAAAACTGGTAGTCCCATGAACCCAGTAAACAAGTGCCAAGTTTGGTAAGAAAAATTGCTGATGATACGTGAAAAAAGATTTAATTTGAAAAAAAAAATTTTGATGAGAAGAATAAAAAAAGCATGCTACTTTTTAAATTTATATCAACAAAATACAAAATATTTCCCAAAAAATTTATTGACTGTTGGCTGTGCTGAAAGTCCCCCAATCAGATTGTGGCTCAAACAATAAATTGCTATTCAAGTATAAACTATATACATAGAATTTTTATGACGTTTCCCTCTTTTTTTCATTTCTCCTAATTATTCAAGTTGGCCGACTTTTTACGAGCTTGTGGGTGGCTGATTTTATTATCGCGTTTGCAAGATATGAAAAAAAATTCTGCCTGCGATTATAATACACACGCATCCGCAGTAAGAGAATGGCGGATGAGCAGTCGAGGTGCTAACTGGATGAAATTAATCATCCCTCGTAAAAAGAACTGCCGGGGGAGGATGAGCCAAGCCGAGCGGCGGCGGTGGCGTCTCATCATTCTCGCTGTGTGTGCCCACGACTGTTGATGTGATTAATTTTTTCAACTTTGAAAAATGGATTTTTGATTTGCGAATGACAATGAGCTTTTTATTCCGACCGAGGAGGGTTTTCGCTCTCTGTATTAATCAACAACGCGCGCATTCAGGCGCACACGCGGCAGAAAAGAATTTTGATTTGTGAACTATGGCTGCGACTGATTATATGCAAGAGGGCAAAGTTTTTTATTGCATAATGACTTTAAAAAAACTCTTATGTTGTAGTAAAAGTGAATGCTCTATACAAAAAGTATTGGAAAAAAGTTTAAATAAAATAATATAGTATTTTATTAATATTTATATTCTTATTGTTAGTTTTGCAATCAAATATTGATTTTGCTTTATCTTCTATAAAAATAAATCAATGCAGATTTTTTAAAAAAATATCTCATATATGTCAATGTGAATCCACAAGCTGCAGTGACGGAATTTATATTTGATGATAGGAAAACAATCTATTCTGCGTGCGTCAATAAAAGTGTTGGCCGATGCCGTCGTTTTCCTTCTATATCGATTGCGGCCGCCAATACATAAGAAAAGCATCAGTGGAGTGTTGAAAGCCGTTGTTTTGACAAGGGATATTCTTCGTTGTTATACTCCCTTGCACATACATGCGATATTTATTTATGGCCGTTCAGCAGAGATGAAATTCCCTGCCGGCAGAAGTTCTGCCAATTCACTCTCTCTATCCAGGCGCCCATGAAAAGGGAAAACACAAACATAACTTCTGAGGTGAGAGAGGACCAATTGCATTCCTTCGAGTCGCCAAGACGTAAAAAGATCGAAAATAGTATTCCGTTTTGACCAGCAAAATTGAGTGATGGGGGAGAAGGACGTCAGTTTTTCCAAAGATACTGAAAAATATGAGGGTGCAGAGAGACGAATGAACAGCTAAACGCATATAAAGCGTTTTTGCTGTATTAGGAAAAAGTGCAAATTGTTTTGATTATATGAATTAAATTAAAGTTAGATTTTTACAATGTAAAGCAGGTTTTTGATGCGGTAGCTAAATTAACTTTGAATTTTTCAAAAGTAGTAAATTGCAGATTTTAATTTTGGTTTTTGGTGTACACAATTGCAAGCTGCTCAACTTTGCTCAAAAATGCATCTGATTATAAGAATTTGTTAAAAGATATATAATTATTATAATTAATAATACAGCATAATTATTAATTATGCAATAACATATTTTAAACGCCGATATTTCTATAATTTTTAATATTTGAATTGGGAAATTAATATAAATTATTATTTTCGTAACTTTTTTAGGAACTATCTTATAATAATTTTCCAGCCAAATTTAGAATCAGTTGGTGGTCGATGCCAAATATGAAACCCTATCCTCTGAGTTAAGCAAGGAAAAGTGCTCCGCAGTCACTGGTTGATGAGGCTGAAGGGCTCGGGCGGAAGAGCGCGCACGAGAGATCTTTTTGTTTGCGAGAAAGTGAAGATAGCGTGCGTCAATTCTCATATTTCCTAAGTGGATGGAGTCGCCAGCCGAGAGCAAAATAGCTGGCAGAGGGTTTTATGTCGGCGTGCCGATTTCAGGGAGCTGCACTCATAAGTTAGTCAGGCGCTATTCAAAGGGGAGAGATTCCTTCTTCTTCTTCTTCTGCGTTTTTGCGGCGATACATTCCGATAGATGACTGGCGACGGGCCAATGTACGTTTTCGTGCGTCACATATTGTCAACGGTGCAGGTTGATGTACGGCCGAGTGCGGCCAAATTTATTATTGCGCCCACAATTGAATCCCGATCCGTGATGCTAAGTTATTGTCCGGTTTTAACACAGAAAAACTTTTACTTTTATCCAAACGCGAGTCGGATTTATCGTTCAATTTGTGCGTCTCCTGCTTGCGGCGACAGAGCGTTTTGGTCGCTCTTCTTGTAATCAAATTACCGTCGCAGGACTGTCGCCTACTGAAATAAAATATTTTATGGTCCTGCTGCGAGCCGAGAGAGCGACCGGGGTGGAATTTTACTGCGATTGCCTGCGCCCTCAAGTATCACTTTTGATTTTTCAACTTTTTTATTGAAATATGGATGGGGTGTCCGATCGAGACGGCAAAGCGCATAAATCACACGGACAAGTTGAGGATATTGAAATATGTATACAAAGCGGAGAAAAATATCAAGTGAAATGAAATCTTCACTTTAAAATTGAGTTTTCCTAGAGGTGTCAGCTGAATTTAATGGTTTTTTTTTATTACAGCAGCTGAGGGATACAGCATTGGGTAGCGAATTTTATGGACCTTAAATTTTTAAAGTAGGCAGCGCGCTGTACACAGTTGTTGCACCGGTTGCATATATCTTTAAAAAAAGCAAAAAAAGTTTTGCGGAGATGAGAATTCAAATTGAACAGAATAGTTATTTTTTTAAATGACCAAAAACTGATTTTTTATTAATAATAGTAAATTTTTCGAATATTTTTTGGGCAAAGAATTAATCGAAATAAATCTAGCTTTTAAATTGAATCTTTGATTTTCTTGTTAAAAATAAAAGCTGTGTTTTTTTGAATGGCAGAAAAATTTAATTACAAACCTTGCCCTTATTGTTAGCTGTATGATCTTTCTAGTAACAAAGAAGCACGATTTTATTCAAATTCTGTAATCATTTTACAACGATCGTTTAAAAAAAAAATCTTGAAAATATAAACTTCTTTTCAAATGTAATATAACTAAATAATTTCAAAAATCGTTAAAGGATTAACCCAAAAATGCATGGTCTTTAAAAATATTGAACAAATCTACACAATTAAATTTTACAGGACCCCAAATCACAAAATTATTATTTAAAATTTACAAAAAAAAAAACAAAAAAACTCAAAGCCGCACAGTAATTTAATTAAAAGCTTTTCTGCTGCCAAATTTGTATTCCGTTTTTACTAATGCTCATAAAAAGTAATACTTTGAGACCTATGACATAAATAACAAACTACACACGAGTAATGCAGGACACGTAAATCACATTTAATTATTTCAAAACATTAAATCTCCTCCAAAGTGCTCTCAAACACTCGCGAGCGGAATGAAATTTGGCTCGCGACCGCGTTCACATGCATGGGTGCGATACGCATCGAGGAACACACAATCATCATCAGCGAGTGAGAGAGAGACATTAAAATCCGGACGTGAAGTTGTATTTTCGAGTCGGCGGCGGCGGACCGCCTATTGTGCGTTTTATGGCCGCGGACAAATAATGCAGTGACACTGGTGGGTCGCAGTCGGCGAGGCATACATCATAATGCAGCCTGCAGCCACCAGGCAGCCGTCATTATCGCATCCATGCTGATTCAATTAGGCCCCAGCGCGTTCTCTCTCTGCACACACGCTCCTCTATTTCGCACACCACGCGCATTTACATAATAATTTTATTAATAATTAATCCCCCGGGGCCGTCGATAATAATGCGAACATGCACGCGGGTTATTCCGCGTGACATATTGCTCGCGGACTATTTGCATTTTTAATCGAAAAAATCACTTTTAATTAGCTGACTTTATAATTTAGCACGCGCGCATTGCGTTGGACCTGATTTTTTAAATTTATTTGGGTGATTTGTTTGGCGCAGTCCGGTGATACAATGCGGCACGGATGCGGTCACATCACTGCATAACCAGAGGCAAAAGAACAGTGAGAAGAGAAAAATTATGTTCATCTCAAAATTATTTAGAAATTTTTATACAGTTAAAACTACTAACAGGTTACACTAAAATAATTGTTGTAAATTTATTTTATCTTTCAAGACAAATATTTTTATCCAAGATTAATATTAAATTGTTCTCTCCATTACTTGAATTAAATCGGACAGCATGTAAACGTTTCTTAAATTAAAGCTAAATTATAAAAAAATTACACTTAGGTAGATGAGAACATTTCAATATTTCAGCAAAATTTCAAACAAATCTAGATAGAACGTTCCTGTTCCGGCACTAACGAAGGTCGTTAACAATATCAACGGACTCAAAACGAGCCATACGCGTGTGCGTTTTTTTTTTTCGCTAAATGAAAAAGTCAACAGTTTTTCATTAGTATATATTGGGATGCTGGCGAGGGATCGACACGCGCTCGGAGCAGCGGGCATCACACTCGAGTGCATTGCTACACAGTGCGGCAAATGGCCAACCTATCAATTATGGATGATTTGCTGCTGCTTCCCACCACCCCCCTGGTAACAAAGTAAGTTATAAAATAAATCCCCCTCTCGTTCCGAAACGCAACACTGTTCGGCTGGGGGTGCACGGGTGGGTGGGTGGTTGCGGGGCCAAGACTCGGTATAATATGCATGGGCACGAAAGAGCGAAAATCACTTTCTGGTATATGTACGAGGCGGACAATGTAACGCGAAATAATACATACAAAAGCCGGCGGGATGAATTTTTCAACTGCTGTCAGTCTCTTGGCAAAACAATCGGCCGAGTAAAAAATAAATGATGCGGCCACTCGAGTGGAATGACGCGACGCTGTCGTTATTTGCGATGGATGATTATTCAAATATTCACCGCAACAATAAATTCTGATGTGCGCTGCAGAGGGACGTGATATTTAGCATGCAAACGACGCTCCTTTTCTTATACTGCCTGACAATGAGTGAGAGTTGGCTGGAAACTATATGATCGGCATTTATATATTTACGCATCTTGCTACTTCTTTAAAAGAAGACTGAATGACGGAAAA